TTGCGGATCTGGGACACTTGTTTTCGATGAGTGAACTTGGTTCGAGGATTTATTGGGATGTCATGGCGTGGAACGCTAGTGATTGGGGGAATGTGCCGTTTGTGTATCTTGGCATGACTATGAGAGTGAGCTTTCTGATGGGGATTGGATTGGGTGAGTCGAGGGCTTTGAAGAAGAAGGATTGGAAGAAGCAGTGAGCTTTTCGGACGGTTATAGCGAGATTCGGATTTGGGGATGCGAGATTTCGGTTTTGAGTACCCGAATTTGATGGTCATGAGGAGGAATGAGTTGGATATAACTTGACTACGCCTTGACAAGACATGATATAGCAAGGTCTAGAACATATGATGCCGTATGAAAGGATACCCCCATCAGGACAAATGGAACTATAAAACACATCTCACGCCAACTCTTCCCAGATCGTCAATGCAGCTCCTCTCATGCTACCTCATCCCCCACGATTCTTGGTGGAGGAATTCAGACTCCGCCGGCCCACGATAATCCGAGCTTCATGTCAAGAGTCATGATGGCCCCTCAACCAATGACATGGTCACATCGGCTATCGGCTATCGCATGTCGCCTCTCTGCAATTCGGGCATAGCGTCCCGAAACCCCCAATCTCTAAATGCGACACTCAAATCCTCCCCCCAAACCGCGTCGCTTACTCGAATCAGATGATCTTTCATGATGGAGGGGTCGTAGTAAAAAATGCCCCTCACACGTAACGGATACGGTAGTCAACGCGATGAGGGGTGAGCTTTGGTTTCGACGAGTGGGGGTTTTGGTCGGCTCGTCGTCATGAGATGAGCTTTATAAAGGAAGAGAAACCCCAATTGACTTGTTCTCAATCGCTTTACTCTCTTTCTCGTCATCTGAATAAAGAAGTTTTGTATCAATCATCATGTCTGTTCCCGACAAGTTCCAGGGCTTTCAGTCCCCCAGCGCCGAGCACTGGACCGACTTCCAGAAGAACTCGTTTGAGCCCCGTCCCTTTGGCGAGTACGATGTCGACATCAAGATCGAGTGCTGTGGTGTTTGCGCCAGTGATCGTCACACCATCAGCGGCGATTGGGGCGGTTGCCCTTATCCTCTCGCTGTAGGCCACGAGGTTGTTGGCAAGGTTCTCCGTGTTGGTGATAAGGTCACTCTCGCAAAGGTCGGCGACCGTGTCGGTGCTGGTGCTCAGGTTTGGTCGTGTCTTGAGTGTCGTCAGTGCAAGAACGACAACGAGACCTACTGTAAGCATCAGATCGACGCTTATGGCGCTGATTACCTCGATACCGGTTTCAAGACCCAGGGTGGTTATTCTTCTCACAGCAGAGTGCATGAGTACTGGTGAGTGCACTTGTACGCCCAATTGATCTCACTGACTTACAATTCGTAGGGTGTACCCCATCCCCGAAGCCCTGTCCAGCACCCAAGCTGCTCCCATGCTCTGCGCCGGTATCACCGTATACAGCCCACTGAAGCGTCTCGGCGCCGGCCCTGGCAAGAAGGTCGGTATTGTTGGTATCGGTGGTCTCGGCCACTACGGTGTTCTCTTCGCCAAGGCCCTCGGTGCTGAAGTCTGGGCCATCTCCCGTTCACGAGCCAAGGAGGCCGACGCTCGCAAGATGGGTGCCGATGGCTTCCTGGCCACTGGTGAGAAGGACTGGACCGAGGGCCACAAGATGTCCTTCGACATCATCATCAACACTGCCACTTCTTTCGAGGGCTTCGCTCTCAGCGAGTACCTCAGCCTTCTCGATGTGCACGGCCACTGGAACTCAGTTGGTCTTCCCGGTGGTGACGGTATCTCCATCCGCAACCAGGACTTCATCACCAACGGTTGCTACATCGGTACATCGCACTTGGGCAGCCGACGTGAGATGCTTGAGATGTTGCAGCTTGCTGCTGACAAGGGTATCAAGTCGTGGATTGAGGAGATTCCTATCTCCAAGGAGGGTCTTCAGCAGGCTATGGAGGCTCTGAGGACGAGCTCTGTTCGCTACCGATCTTGCATGACCAACTACGAGGAGGCATTCGGTGCTTAAGCAAGTGAAATTGTGGAAAATAAAAAGAAGGAGTTTGTTGGGAGTAGTATTGGGAGTTATGAATGAGTTAATGGTGGAGCTGAATACTCTTGTTGGCGCGGATCAAAGACACCTTGATGGGTCGAAATGACGAATAAGTCTGGTATGATCTATGTGATCATGTCTGAATGAAATGATGAATTGAACATGATGAAATCTATCCGTTGCCTTTCTCCGTGATCGGATGCAATTAAGAAGCAGTAGTGAATATTTACAAAGCAATGATCTCATAATCAATGATTCCATTTCTGCTTTCTAATGGACCATCACGTAGTGTAGCTTTGGAGTTTTTTGGTTCAGAAGGCTAGACCATTTTCACTTATACTCCCCGCATCGTAACTCATGGGGTTGTGGGGATCTCCACCTCACCTTTTCACATCAAAAGAAAGATCAAGAGCTGTGAAGAAGAGCTGTAAGCGGGCAATTGGAGTACTAAACTGTCAATAAGAGTAATTGGTCTTCAGAGTCCTTGCACAATGCCAAGAGACGGGCTATCATGAGCCCGCTGAGTTTCATTCTTACAACCTCCAATTCATCTTGATGTCCAAATATAAAACTGACAGCACCCATGTCATCCACACTATCCCTAATTCTGCCACGCCGAAATCTCCTCCGTGTATCTCCAACGGAGACCGACGGGTGTTACTAGTGACTCACCCTACCGCTGCATGTCTTCAGCCTTTTGCACTACATGCTGAGTATAACGTGAAGTTTTCTAACGGTTTTTGTTAGCAGTCATCTTGAGCCTCGCCGAATTAAGGGATGTGATTAGCAATCTGTAAAATTCGGTGTGTTTAGATGCAGGGAGGAGTCATCCTGGCGGGCTTCACGATTGTTTTAAGATCAAGGTGATCGCCGGTTTTCTTTTGGGAGTTGGCGATACCTTCAAACTACACTCTACAAAACAATACTACAAACAATACAAGCATATCAACTTCTTACACAAACATTGCACACTTTCTCCACATTCCTATTTTCTATCTGTTGACCATCTACCAACACCGTCATGTAAGTCTAACTCTTTTCAACCCCGAACTCACGACTAACAACAACCTAGGGGACAATCATCTGCATCTCCCTCATCTTCACCATCAAGATCTCAAACTTCAGGCCCCAGAGACCCATCATCACTCATGGACGTCACACGCCGCTTCAGCCGCTCCTGTAGCAAGGCAGAGATCGCCTCAGTAGGCATCTCCCCTTCAACCTCGGCCGTTTTCGCAATCTACACAGCTGCGCAAACCGCCCAATCCTGGATCGACGTCTTTGACATCAAGACCCAGAGCGGCTACTCCAAGACGAGTGGCTCGCGCGCTGTTTTCTCACCTAATGGCTCGAAGTTGGCTACTGTTAGGGACTGGACTGTTCAGCTTACAGGAGGTGTCGACTTTCACCACTCTAGCACTGTCTTTCTGAGGGACTATGTTAGTGGGAAGACAGCTTGCGAACTTAAGGAGGCTAAGGGTGAGCCGATTGCTTGGAGCCGTGATGGGAGACTCATTGCAGTCGGTGAAGCGAGGAATCGCATTGGAGTTTGGGATGTGAAGAACGGAGTCCGAGTCGGAAAGGTTCTGAGCCACATCGACGCAGTTACTCACGCTGCTTTCCTCCCTGATCAAAGCCTTGCCACTATCTCACGCGACGGAACGCTGCGCATCACAAACACCAAGACTTGCAAGACAATTCGCCGTCTTGAGATCGACGGCTCAAACAATCCCCGTGCTCTAGCAGTCAGCCCTGATGGTCAACGCATCGTCTCAGTCTGGGGAACAAACGTCCACATCTGGATCCCCTCCGCCAACGACTTGACGTCTTACAACCTCAACGCCGTGCGCTCCTGCGAGGGATGGCCCCTTGCGATCTCGCCCGATTGCCGATACATGCTCTGCAGAACTGAAGATGGCTTCGACATCATGGACGTGGCAACGGGAATGATTATGTACGATGAGGCTATGGAGGAGATGGTAATGTCTGGGGCTTTTGATGAGGATGCCAAGGTTCTGGTTCTTGGAAGGATGGATGGTGTCGTTGAGGTTCGAGATGTTTTTGACAGGAGGTGAAAAGTTTGATACCCTAGGATGATTAAATTGTAAATGGGCTGGACAGATGTGCTTTTGGGCAGGATGGGCGTTTGTTTTATATGGGCATATAGGAATTGTTACTGTTTCTCAGATATTCAACATCGTTGATTGTAAGAGCATATGCCAGGCTCTCAACAGCAATTATTTACATACTCAAAATTAATTCCTTCAATTACCTATAAATGTACTGTGGACCTAGGGGCGAGAGATACCCTCAATTTTGACTTCAGACATCCTCCAAGCTGAACGGGTCCAGTGGTAACAAGGTTCTCACAAGCCACATAAATGGCCCCGAAACACGTATTTTGCAAAGTTAAACTGTAACGGATAAGTCAGGGAATCACATCAAATGATACAGTTAAGAGCTGAGGAGTACAATTTGCCACCTAGGTAGTCTCTCACCAAATCACAAATAGACTGGATTTAACAACACTTAATCTCGTATCAAAGCCTGTTCTTCCCATCTTTTAAGTCTTGTCATGAGCCTTTGCCAGCTCTCTTCTTCTTCACATTTATCCAGACTGATCTTAACCATTCATCAACCTACCCAAGAACCAGTACCTATTGCTGACCTATAGCCTCATTAGGGGAAGTCAGAAAACACAAGCCCTCGATCACAAGCAACAAAAAGACGTGGGTAAGTCTAGCAGAGACGTATTCGAGTTTAACAGAGGCTTCGGAGGCTCTTTGACTAGTTGTTAGACCACTGGCCAAAGTTTTGGCATCTCTTCTGGATCTCCGAGGCGTCAAGCAGCGATATCTACATCAATCCTTGATCTATCTTGTTGGGATATCAGACAAGGTTAACAAAGAAACTACCCAAATATATCGTATATAGCACGATATCATGGAAAACCCACCACTCCCATCAGAGATCCTATATCAGATTTTCGAGTATTTCTGTCATCATTGTCAGGAGAAGCATCCCGCTTCCCACGAGCACCTACCGATCTTCGATAATGAGACGAACGAGAACCGTCGGGCTCTCCTCAGTCTCAGTAGGACATGCAAGAGCTGGGGTTGTATTGCGCAAAATGTCCTTCATCACTACTTCATCTTCTCAGATGTTCGACGCCAGATTTTGCTCTGCAGGACGATTTGCGAGAATCCAGAACTTGGCGAGAGGCTACAATTTGCCAGCCTCGAACGATTAGCACTCATGGTCGACCCAGCGATGGCCCAGCCTTGGTTTAGCAGATCCATAGCTAGGTTTTTGCACTTGTTTAAGAAAGATTCGCTAGATTGGCAAGGATGTACTGTCGCATGGGGTGATTGTATCGCACCGCTTATTCTACTTCAAGCACCCAACCTGAAACATCTCGTCGTTCACGGCCGTTACAATCTATACCTTTTCGATGAATTCGATATGGAGGCCACCATGCGCTATCGAGCCCTGCCTCAGAATCTCGAGTCTCTTTCGGTAGGGCATCAGGAAATATCCTGTCTCTGGGATGGGTACCCACCTGTTCGAACAGGTCTGGATGCTTTAGGGGGACTTCTCATTAGATTGGAAAACCTTGAGACGCTTTCCCTATCGCGGCCTGACTTGAAGTCACTCCCGGAGAAACTGCCACTTCAAAGGCTGCGCAGGCTTCGAATTGGTAATGCGTGCCTGTCCAAGAACAGGCTACAATCCCTCATCAACAGCACAGGACACCTGGAGGAGTTTGTTTACAGAGAGATCGACCACGCAGTCCATACAACAAGAGCCATCCTTGTCAAATCTCAGGAGGTCTTTGAGATGCTGGTTCCCATGAAGGCTACACTCAAGAGAGTTGTTCTGAGGATGTACAGGTCAGAACGGCTTCCTACTGCCGGCGCTCAGCTAGTCAACCTACAACAGTTGCGAATCAACCCAGGAGTATTGTGCGATATTCCCACCCTGAAACTTAATCGCCAGGACCTTGCTAAGCATGACCTGCTCAATGTGTTCCCGCCGAACTTACAGACGTTGTGTCTGGATCATAGTCACGCGGATGCCGCTCGATATGGAGAGGCTTTGGGGTGTTACATATCGTCTACCTACAAAGAAGATCCCCAGGAGCAAAAGTTAAGAGAGGTGACTCTTCATATTGTAGACACAGCCTTTCCACATCCCATGGGGGCGATAATACATGTTTCGCCGCACATGTTGAGTCATGTGAATGCAAGGGAAGTGGAGTTTCTCCGCAACAAATGTAGTTCATCGTGGTTAGAGAACGGGTGTGTGACCGTCACAACAGAACCGATCTTATGGTATAGCTGCAATAAAGTCGGAAACAACAAAATGTTGCCGGCTTACCCTATCTAGAGAGCTTCTTTCTAGTCTAATAGAACTTGGAAATGCTGTCTCCAACATGATAACGTTACTGTGATCTTGTCTACTTTTGTGATGAAATCTATCCCATATTGTTGAAGTTCTGGCATGAATACGACCCGTTTGGTATCTAACTTCCTTCAGAAACCTGCATACTTGAACAAAAGAAAAGTGATAGTAGGGACTGTGTGGTAAGCTATCAAGGGTATTCATGGGCGGAAACATAGGTGCCTAATCCACCCGAATATCCCAGATGGCTTGTTGAGCATTCATGGCACTGCTCTGATATGTTAAAGCATTCACTCTGCAATAGCACACAAAAACGCATACAAACAAAATTACATGCACACAGGGGTCAGCCATGTGTTCAAAGTCAACAGTGCCAAGATTCGGAGTTGCGGCTTGTCACGAGCTACTTCCAGTACTACATGGCAAGAGATTCACTTTTCAACAACAAGCAATCAGTAGCATCAGATCATGAGGCATTGGTAGACGAGGTTACAGAAGTTTCAGGTAACGTTTGTAACAGATGCTGTTCGCTTGCTAATATCAACAGAACCTGTCTCTGATTAAGAAAGAGAATGAGGGGACACTCTAGCATTGTATCATTTTCCTGGGAGCCACTAGGAGACAGCCAAAGTCTAAGTTCACATTCACTAACCCCTGAGTTCGCTGAATGGCAAATCAGACATCGGGTGACTAACTTCTGGACATAGAAGAGGACCATGGTAACTGGTCATACTGACATAGACTGACAGATGCTCTAGGCCTGCGTACTATTACGGTAGCCTAGGATAGAGCCTTGAATCAGAACATAATAGACGTTTGTGAGAAACTGCTCGCACCCTTCAGTCATTCAGCTCATCTTTGGGCTATAAAAGGCCCCGATTTCCTCCTGGTTACAACCTCACCCAACTCAAGTGCTTCAAACTCACAAAAGGAGATCGTCCATTCAACAAATATAACATCATCGTATATCGCAAAGAAACCATTCAAACAACATGGAGATACAGAACCTCCATCCGGAGATTATATTTCTCATCTGCGAAAGCATATGTCCTCACTGCCAAAAGCTCGACGACGATTGGCCCAAGGGTAGCCCTACGGGCGAGAAAGCACCGCGTCCCGCAGCGAAAGAACGTCGTCAGACAATATTCAATCTCTCCTTTGTCTGCAAGAACTGGGGCTCTATCGCACAAAAGGTGCTGCATCATCATTTTGGCGCCTTTGAAACCCATCCGAAAGCCGAATTCTTGCTTTGCAGGACTCTCTCTGAGAACCCAGAGCTTGGAAACCATGTGAAAGACGCTAGAATAACACACATTTCGTCATACGACTGGAGTCTTAATGGAGAATGGCTTGCGAACTCCCTAAATAAGTTCTCGGAAGTCCTTGACTTTCCGGGAACCACGGTGCCTGATACCTCGGAATGGGGAGAATTCATCGCACCCCTTATTTTGCTCCAAGTTCCGAACCTAGATCGCCTTCTGGTGCAGGATAAACACTTCACAGAGATCGTGAAAAAGTTTCGCAGGCCCTTCCTGAGGGAACAAAGTGTCCTCCCTCGACGTATTAAAACAATCTTTGTCAAGCCTCCGCCAATTATCAGCGAAAGCAGCACTGATGGGTCCTTGGATCTATCTGAGGCCTCTGTGGGAGGATTTCTATCAGCAATCCAAAGTCTTGGGGATCTTACCTTATATAGGCCCAATCCACAGTCACTCCGAGATCGTCTGAATCTCATCAGCTTGCGATCTTTGGCCTTATCTGACACATTTTTGAGCCGAGGAGAACTCCAGCTATTACTTTCTGCTACGGGGCCTTTGGAGGAATTTCGATACAATGGCGTGTATCGTCCCGACCTTGATGCTGTCACCCCTCAGGATATATGTGAACTTCTGATACCTAAGAAGCATACCTTGGCACAGTTGCATTTGGAGACTCCATACACAGCCCAATATTTCACAGCAGGAAAGCACCTTGCTAATGTGAGCTATATGCGTTTCTTACTCACAGGCATCTGGCTTCCAACGGACGCAGAGCCAATTCTAGATGAACGCGCCTTACTGGATATATTTCCACCAAAACTCTCTCAGATATGGCTCGACGTCTCGGAGATTGCATTCCCAGGAAGCGTAGATGCTCTTGTCACTTATATCTTATCGACTTGTCGAGATCACCCTGAAGACCAAGTGCTACGACGGGTGTACCTACGGGTTCTCACAGCGGCTGAAAGGGGGGATCCAGAATTTCCCATGGAAATACACAGGTCGGCCTGGGAGGCAATCAAGCAGAGGTGCGAGCCTTTCCTAAGGAACGGAAAAATAATCATGTTACTCACAAGTTGCAAAACCGGACGCGGTAAGCTTATATCTTGGTAGACTGAGGGCCAAGGTGGGTGCTGATTCCTGCATTTGTTGCAGCGGATATGGGATGCTGTATTAGCATGTTACGATCGACTAACGTAGTAACAATGAAGAATTGCTCATATTTTGCAGTTGAGCATTGATAGGGTTATCAGTCGTGCTCTTGGTCAAATTGCTCGAGAGTCAAGAGCTAGTAATAAAACTCATTCATAGATGTTACCGCCGCTTGAGAAATTGCGGTTCTGATTCCAACGAATAGCCAGAGCTTTAACCAGTTTATCATGGCACGATGCTTCCCTATTTTCCCCTTGGAGACACTGCGTTTGTGAACACTTCAAACAGTACTGAAGATGTTCACTTTATTGACCATATAAACACATTGTAAATAGATAATGATGTACTAGTGAAATGTGGATTCTCATGGCTTGTCGCTGTTTGTATTGTATCCCGACGGTCGAGTTTATATTCACTACCCAGTATTTCCTGAATTCAAAATCGAATATCGGGCAGCTAAATCTCCAGTGATAGAAGGACACCGATATGCAACAATATCGTTAGACAGATAACCATGACCAATTCGATTCGTTAACAAGTGACCAAATACCATGTGAATAACTGCTGAAAAGAAGGAAAGATCATGCCAACTGTTGGGCCGACAACGAATAACACTCCGTTCCAACACAGCATATCTGCTCAAACACCAAGATCCAGGAACCGAATCACAAACTCATAAACCGAGCGTGATAGACTGTCCTGAGTCAGAAAATAGTTTCTAATCACGCATTCTGAGATGTCTTATTATAAAGTGTCCGAGAAACTCCTCCGAATTTACATGCTATCTATCTCAAACCTTGCGATTCTCCAGCTATACAACATGGATCTTCAAAACCTCGATGCAGCCCTTACATACATAATATGCGAGACCTTCTGTCTCCATTGCCACGACGAGTTTGAGTATCACCGGGAATTTCCCAATGTATGCTCCGCAGAAGACACCGATGCGAAAACCCTTCGATACGCCCTCGTTAGTCTCTCCACGGTCTGTAAAAGCTGGGGTTATATAGCACTGAAAACACTCCACCACCATTTTGGCTTTTCTGAAGCAAATCCAGAAGCTGAGATTTTGTTCTGTAGGACTCTCTGCGAGAACCCAGAATTAGCCAAGCAAGTCAAACAGGCTAGGTTGAGGCATATCTCTTCAACTGACACTCGCGTTGAGGGAGACTGGCTGCTCAAGTCTTTGGACAAATTTTCCAACATTCTTGATATCCAGGGAACAGACTTCAATATCGTAAAATGGGGACAGTTTATCGGAGCACTTATCCTCCTTCAAATACTGAACCTCGAGTTTCTCGAGACAATAGCTAAAGATTTATATCAGATAATCGATAAGTTCAAAAAACCCCTCCCTCTCCACAGAGTCCACTTCCCTCAGCGACTGAAGAGCTTGGATATTAAGAATAAGCTGGCCAACCAAACTGGATTTCACAATCCCCTCGATCTATCTGAAGGTTCTATTGGAGGATTGATGTCAGCACTTCCAAACCTCCAGCATGTGGAACTTATGAATCCCTCTCGTCGAACCCTACGAGATCCACGACAGCTTCATAATATCCGCCATATTGCCCCTCGAAGCGTGGTATTAGGCCGAGAAGAACTTCGAGTCTTGGTTTCTGCTACAGGACCGCTAGAATCCTTTCTTTACCAGGGTGCTTCTTGCCATGGAGCCGAGTATTCTTCTATCCAAGATATTTGCGAAGTCCTGGCTCTCAGGAAGAATACCTTAAAAGAGCTAACTACGGCGACGTCTTTCCCAGCAGATAACTTTACTGCAGGAGCACGACTTATCAACGTTCATTATATGCGCATGGCTCTTGAAGACATCTGCTTTCCTGCGCCTGGTATCGCTGTCCAGGACGATCAGATATTAGTGAGAAGCTTACCACCTTGCCTCGAAACTATCCATTTAGATGCTTTGGATAGTACATTGGTAAATTTCTGGTCTACATGTACTCTGACCGGGAAACGATGGAGCATTCGCCCAACTCCATACATAATTCAGCCTGGGAATTGATCCAGAAGAAATGCGGAGACGTTTTAAAGCATGGACATGTAGTCCTTCGGCCATTCTGGCGTGATGACGAGGATGAGGATGGATGAGTTATTGGTGGTTGTCTATAGGTTACAATGGATGATCACCACGGACACTAGCCTAGTATATACAGTTGACGCTGAAATGGTATAATAAGCACTACCAGTTACAGGATTATTCGAGCGTGTCTTAGTGCCAACCAACCCAGTGTTGACCTCAGGTAGCAGATCAATGCCAGTAGAACCTATCATACAGGTATGATCGCATGGCACACATCACCGCAACGCTTTATCGTTCCACCAGGATCTGTGACTCCTCTGTGGGCGGCAACCTTTTTGTATGCGCATGCATTACGAGCCGATGACAAGGGCTTATTGACGTAGTGTAATGAATCGATGGGGTCTTCAAATGGAGCAGCAAGCATAATCAGCGCTAAATGGCTGCAAGTTGGGACATTGGTACCTAACCAAGGGTCATTGAGCTACATATAGCCTTTTTGATGATGACTTATTGCGATACTCTTGATGGTTGAGCAGTTGTGATGAGGTTGAAGTGTATATGTGTGGTTGTACTCAGAGGATATACAGAGTATGACACCAGGCTCGATACCGCAGCCGGGAAGGCGGTGTTGTTGGCCATCTAAAGCGAAGCTAGCGATACTCGGTGCTTCGACGCTACCCATTTGTATGTTTTATCGGTGCCGCACCTCGCCTTTCTTTATGTAGAGATGTTATGAGAGATCAGATGCCCTCCTAGAACCAAAATTGCAGCCTGCTGCCAACAGACTGGGCCATCTAGCTCTCAGTTGTGACGAGCATCCTTATATCATCAATCAAGTATCGCGTTCGATGGTGCACATCAATAGTAAGGAATCCCCGGGTTCGTACGATCTTGCTTGTGCGTCATCTCTGTCGCCGGAGGTCGATCCCGGTTTCAACAGAACCAATAGTTAACGGGTCCATATTGCCTAAGACATACACTCGATTTGATGTCCATGGCATTTCTCAGCTCAAAGACATAGATATACTAGATCTATCAACCCAGTTAACACTCAAGCCTTCCAAGGAAGTCCGAGAGAACCTCCCGAAACTTCTCTGGCTCATCAGTAGCAGGATTATGAGCCGACTTCTCAAAAACAATGAGCTCACTACCCTCAATAAGGCTCCAGATCCTCTCAGACTCTTCAACAGGACATATAATATCAAGTCTTCCAACAACCACTAAAGTAGGAACGTTGATCTCAATTAACCTGGACCTCACATCGAACCGAGGCTGTGACCACGAAAACGCAGCGTTGTGAACCTCCCAGCGAAGTTCAGTACTCGCACCTTCAAATGATGCTGGCTTCGGATTATTCTCGGGGGTGTATATGCTGACGATCTCGGCCATGCTGTGTTCTGCGTCTTCTTGGCTTCGTAGATTGCCGGTCCAGAGCCTTATTTGGCGCACGGGGTCTGGGCTGATGCGTTGGGATAGGAGGATGTTTGCTAGTGCGCGGTGTGTCCCCTCAGGTCCGCATGCCCAGGTATTTCGCAAGATTAACGCCAGGAGACGGTTGGGGTAGTTGAGAGCGTAGTTGAGGGCAAGAAAGCCACCGTATGATCCTCCAGCAAGGATGAACTTTTCGTCTCCCGCCCAAGCTCTACAAAGACTGTTAACCACGGCTCTAAGATAAAAGCACAATGGTAACTTACCTGAGTTCTTCAAGATCCGAGACCCACTGCTCGTCGGTGAAAGGACCCTTGAACTCGCTGCCTCCACTGCCTCGAAGATCATACACGAGAACGCGGAACCTGTTTACAAGAAACTTGAAGTCCTCTTTTATGCCAGTGTGTGATGAGAGCCCCGGGCCGCCATGAAGAGAGATTATCAAGGGTTTCGACTTGTTCTCAGCTCCGAGAAGGCAGACATTGAGCTTGACTCCGTCGCTGAGTTGAACTTGGGTATAAAATTCCGACATTGTGGTGTTTGACATACGAAAGGCTATGTGATGTTTTGTTGTCTTTGTTGAACTTGAGGTTTAATAGATGCCCACTGGGAAAGGTTTTATATCGTTTATCTTGACGATTCAGCTCTTTCGGTGTTATTTAGGTCACTTATACCATTGTGGGTTCAGCATCGCTGAGCGACGCCGAGTGTTACATAATCTCCGAACGTCAACGTTAAATCGTGATATTCCCGACATTGAAGTCAAGAATGACATATGAACTTATTTCATCGTGGCCAATGCCCATCTTGGCATTTTAATCAAGCTTATTAATCTCCGATGAGCCGCACGAACTCAGCCGGTCCTCGCTGAGCGAGGTGGCATGATTTCCTAATCGGGCAATTTTCGTAAAGCGAGCTACGATATACTTCGCGGCGTTACGATTTGTCTAGGATTTGGTAGAAAATATGACGGTTCTGCTTAGTGCATAGATAGTAACGGTTCAAAGTATGAAGAAACTCAACATTGCTGTCTTTTGTCTGGCTTCTCTGTTGTACAAAAGATGTCGACCAAATCAGACGCTGAAAAGCAACAACTAAGCATCCCAGTCCCTTGGGAACGAGATCCTGAAAATCCTCAGAATTGGAACATATGGAGAAAAGCATTAAATTTGGGAATTGTATCTATCTTGGGTTTTATCACGTAAGTCCCTTTCCAACACCAAATATCCTCAATATCTCATAGTTTCATATCAGTCCTTTGGAATCATCCGTCATCGTCCCAGGTGTTCCTCTCCTGAAAGAAGACTTCCACGAAACTCGACCACCTGTGACATCCCTCGTCGTATCGATATTTGTTCTTGGTTTCGCGTTCGGTCCTGTGCTTCTGTCACCGCTGTCAGAGCTTTACGGTCGTCGTTTGCTTCTCAATATTTCTAATGTTGTTACGCTTGGTTTTTCGATCGGTAGTGCTCTTGCACCAAATATTGCGACGTTTATTGTCTTTCGCTTTATTGCTGGGAGCTTTGGGGCTGGGCCGATGAATATTGGTGGTGGGAGTATTGCTGATCAGGTCGAGCTTTCGAAAAGAGGTTTTGTGATGTCGATCTTCTTCACGGGCTACTTCTTGGGTCCTGTTATTGGGTAAGCCTTTTCGATTTACCAAGTACTTGGGTGCTAACTCAGGGACTAGGCCTGTGATAGGAGGCTTCGTCGCCAAGGACCTTGGATGGAGATGGGTGTTCTGGATCATGGCTATCTTTGTAAGTATTATTCTCTTCTCGATGTCCACGGCTAATCATAATGCGTTCAGAAAGGAGTCATGACGATAGCAGCCTTTTTCTTCGTTGCTGAAACCCACCACCCCACGATCCAACGAAGACAAGCCCAATCCCCTGACGAAACGGCCGAGAACAAAGAGCCTCCGAAGGTCGGCCAAGTGCTGTTACGGGCGCTAATGAGACCGATGAGAATGCTAATCCGCAGCCCTATCGTCACCGGTCTCTCTCTATATCTGGCATTGATATATGGTTACCTATATCTTCTCTTTACTACTTTCTCAACAGTATTCCCAGAACAGTACGGTTTTGGTATTGATACTCTTGGCCTTGCTTTTCTGGGAGTGGGGATAGGCTGTGTCGTTGCTCTGGTGGTTCTCTCATGGCTGAGTGACTGGCTTCAAAAACGCCTGACCAAGAAATACGGAGAGTCTAAACCAGAGTGAGTCTGTCTTCCAAGACAATTAACACCACTAACTGTTTCAGATATCGATTGCTTCCTATCATCCTTGGAATTCCGCTTCTTCCCATTGGACTGTTCGTATACGGCTGGACAGCAGAGTATAAGGTCCACTGGATAGTTCCTATCATCTTCACGGGGTTCTCGGGAGCTGGGCTAATCTTCTCATTTGTAAGGGTCAACTTCCCCTTAGATTCCACTTACTAACATACAGTAGCTTCCCACTCAGATATACATGATTGATGCTTTCACGGACTATGCGGCTAGCGCTTTGGCTGCTACAAGTGTCGTACGCAGTATAGTTGGTGGATGTCTCCCTCTTGCTGGACTTCCACTGTACTCTGCTCTTGGTTATGGATGGGTAAGTTCTTTATAAATGGACCCAGCTTTGGTTTATACTAACAACTCTTAGGGGAACTCACTTCTTGGGTTCATCGCCATTGTAGTATCGATTGCACCCCTTCTTTTCTGGCGCTACGGCGAGACTTTGCGGAAGAAGTACGATGTACAGTTTGACTAACAACTCTTGGGTTTCGTGAATTCTTCTATTGCTGTGGTGTCAAGGAGACATATTTTGATCAGTGTACTTATAGAATTGGTAGAACAAGGGGTTGTTGCCCGAAGGTTTTCCCCTGTCTGAATTTATCAGATTCAGTCCAACTATTGCCAAAGAATAATGCGAATGCCCATCAAGTCCTTCCTCATCTTCGTTCAGGTGTTAAGAATCTGGCAGCTTGGTCGCCCAATCATCTTTCTCCAACAGAACCCTCACATATTCAAGCGTCCTCCTAAGATTCTCTGAAACCTCCACCAACCACTTCACATTAAGCTTGCCCGTATCACTCAAATCTAATGTTCCTGCGATATACCTCTCTTGAAACCCTGTGGCGCTTTCATAATCAGCATCCACCGAGATTCTCACATCTCTCGTCGCCTGTCTAACCATCAACTGCTTTATCGCGATATCATCTTGCTTCGATACCTGAAACTCTCCAAGCATAGTTTGTGTCATGTGATTCCTGAGATATTCTTTTGGGTCCTCTGCAAGTTCGCTCAAAAGATTGACCTGCCGTTGATGAAGCATGACGAGATTGATGTGGCGAAGACAGCCTGTGTCGCAATTCTGGCAAGCGAGATACTGTGCAGATTGGTGGAAGACGCGCTGGAATAATGATAGAATCTCATCTAGGGGCGTCTGCCCGGGGCTCTTTGTTATAGCATCCACGCTGCCGCTCATATCGTGTATATCTGCATAGCATGCTTTGGGACACTTTGTTTTTGGCTTGAGACAAAAAGATGGGGGCGGGGGCGGAGAGTCCAGAGCGTTCACGATATCTGTCAGCGATGGAGAGTTTGTGCTGCCTGAAGTTCCTGAGATGGCTCCTGTATCTTGGCCTGGAAGGGTTTTCCCAAACCCTAGCACGTCATTAAACAACTATCTCTATCAGTAAGGCTACTTCAAGTCTTGATGGGGAATACCTACGTTGGGGTCTATATTATGAGGTTCGATCGTTGGTGCAATCTCCAAATTGAATGCTCCCATGTCAACATCTGATGGAGTGATCTCCATGGAAGGGAACTCGTTCGATGCTGAAGACACATTGTTTGTGCATGCCCTTTTCTTCCCTCGCCGCTGAGAAAGGCTGTAAACGCATGGTGAAGTGGAGGAAGAAGCACATCGTCGACAAGGAACACCTCCCGAGCATTTAACGCGAGACTTTCGGCATCCGTCACAAGATGTATTGTATTTCTGTGTTTGTGTTAAAGAGCTGGAACTCCTGCTCACCGAGCTATTGTTAGGGGTGGGGTGAGTACTCCATCGAGTGGTGTAAGTATTTGGTATTCCGTAGGAAGGGGTCATAGTAGAAGCAGAGGAATGAATGCCTTCTTCGGATGTGTAACGTTATGTTATCGAGAAGCGAGATTATTGAGTGGATGAAGTGTTGTTGGACAGATTTGTCATCATATAAGGCGATGGATCCTGGTCGAAACAATCAATGGGTATCACATGACGTTACATAGACCTGAAGCAAACGCAACATGTCAACCTTCAAAGATCAAACTTCAACAGAATGACTAAGTGGCAATTACAATAAGTTTATGGAGTTGGGTGTGATAAATGTACTAAATGTGCGGGTTGAAACTTGGTTTGAGTAACTCGATAACGTTATTAGCGTAGTACGTGAGCAAACGAGTCTGGGCACTCTAGCTGTAAGCTTATTTTCGGGTAAAAGACAGCCTTCTCGGATTGGCTGAGCGAGAGTTGGCGGTTAAATCAAAGGTAGACCGTCTGTCAACTTCAAATTGGTTCTCATAATTCTTGTGCACCTCAAGCGAAAATCAAAGACAGTCACAAGAGTAACCAAGCCATGGCAACATCCCCCCAAAAGAAACAAATCTCTGCTCACCACCTCGAAGCCGACAAAAGATGGACAGAGGGTCTGATCCTTGCTCAAAGCCCATTCTGGGTCACCGCCGTGGCATTCGTCATGTTGAGCGGCATCATTAGCAACTGGAATGATTATGATTATATGCTCTTCTCTATTACCGCCGCCTTACCCTTGGTACTTCTTCCAGCACTCTTATCCAAACCCGATGGCCGTCCATGGTACCGCAGATACTGGGTGAAGCTCAACTTGTGGATATCAATCATAGTCTTCCTGGGAACATACTTCATCTCGCACTACTTCTTCGATCTTATGGGCATGCGATACATGTTCAAAGTCAAATTGAATTTCAGTTCTGCTGTTGTTGGTAGAACGGGTGGCGAAGTTCCTTTGTTCTTATATCCGCTTACGCATGCATACTTCATGAGTTACTTCACCTTCTTGTTGGTTGCAGAGCGCAAGATTATTCATCGATTACAACCTGGACGTTTTGGACGAGTCTTTGTGGTACTGACTCTCTCATACATCGTTGCGTTCGGCGAAACATTCTTTATGGCGAGTCCTCTTCTTTCTGATGTCTTTCTATATGAAAAGAGAGATCGTATGATGAAAGTCGGAACGTTTGGGTACATGATATTCTTCATCACTGGCTTGCCTATGCTCGGACGCGTCGATAGCCGCGGCGAAGATTGGCCTCTCAGCAGAGTAGTCATCGAAGCTCTTGCTGCATTCACGTCTATATTGCTGTTGTTTGAGCTTTGGGCAAAGATAATTGGGCCTCTTTGATGGTGGTTTCATTAGCTGAAATATTGACAAACTGAAATCCGGGGCAATATGGGGATGAATATGGAGTGCGGGGTGAAATCGGGGATGTGGAGGAGTCGGCTCAACCAACAAACATGGATTTATTACCAACGGACTTCGGTTCGTTTTATACCCAAATCTGCAATTGAGGTTATTACTCCGGAAACAAATCTCACAGATCTTATTCAATTTAGCAACAGATTGCTAACAAAAACTATATCCATTCTGTTCAAGTTAGTGATGGTATACTCGGTTCACAACTTCAACGACTCTTTGTTCAAGATAATTATGAAATGAGTTACAGCATCAAATATTGAGCCGAGTAAGTCAAGTTTGTGCTACAAAGGCCGTAGATTTTGAGGAATGTATTGGAGTCTATCCGGTAGCCAAGCACTTGATGCTGTATTTAAACCCCACGCTAACACGGCTCAGGAACCGAAAAATATGTTTCCGAACCGATTCCCCGGAACGGGAGTGTGGGGGAACCACTCATCCAGACTCCCCCGATCAACGGACTTATTTAGTAGGAAACACTAGCCAAGCCCTTTAACCTCTCACTTCATAAAGAGCCTCAATGAGCCTCAATCTCGGCCTCTGAGTCAGTTCAACATCGACGTCAACTTCACAATGGCCGAGAAATCAGATTTCCCAGATCTCGCAACCATCGCATCAGCAGACCACATCGAAGACGAGAAGAAGACACACACAGCCCACGATGGCGGTCACATTGAGGGAAACGCTCTTCTTGTTAACAGACAGGGCGAGATCCGAAAGATCCCTGTGCCGTCGTCGGATCCTAATGATCCTTTGAATTTTAAACCTTGGGAGAAATATGGCCTGGTCTTTTGTTGCTGTTGGTTCTCGGTTATGGGACTTTCAGTTGCCTCGGGACTAGGAGCTATCTTGAATGTTTTCTTTGAGATGTATATTCCCAAGGGGTTTAGTTCGGATCAGGTTGTGTTGCTTATTACACTGCCGACCTTGTTTATTGGACTTGGTAGGTTTATGCTACAGTTATTCTTATGGATTCACTAACAAGGTCAGGAAACTATATCATTCTGCCTTTGTCGCTTGCTTATGGTCGTCGACCTATCTTCCTCATCTCTGTGGTCGTTCTTCTCGCTGCCAGCATCGCAGCAGCTCTCCAAAATAGCTACTACGGCCATCTCGTCTCTCGTATCCTTCAGGGTATCGCAACAGGCGCTTCTGAGTCCCTCCTCCCACTTATGCTCACAGAAGTAACATTCCTTCATGAACGAGCCTTCATCTTTGGTCTCTACTGGATGGTTCAAAACGCTATTTCATCCTCTCTCAACCTGGCATCGTCATACATCAACGCTGATCTTGGCTGGAGGTGGTACTACTGGGTATTCACCATCACTGTTGGAGTCGGTTTGATCATTGCTTTCTTGCTTGGCTTTGAGACACAGTTTACTCGCCCTGCTGCCTCGCTTGATGGGCAACTTGTCATCACTGATGAGTTTGGCGTTACAAAGGTCATTCCTGATTCTGAGGCTCAGGCTTATCTGGAGGAGATGTCGAGATCGGGATTGACACCGCCTAATGCCGGAAATCCTGCTCAGGATATCGAGCGCAAGGCATACACTGAGCGTCTTCGCCCGTGGTCTAAGCCATCTTCTCAGCCACTGCGTGTCATTTTGCTGAGCTGGAAGTACATGCTCGCTTCGTTTTCGTCACCTGGTATCTTATACGCCGTCCTCACATCTTCAATTGCTCTTGGCTGTGGTGTTGGCATGTCCTTGACATACAACCAGGTTCTCATGCAGTACTATCACTGGGAAGCTAAGGATATCGGCCTGATCAACGTTGGTGGAGTCGTTGGAGCTGTTCTGGGCATGCTCTACTGCACATTCCTCGCCAACCCTTTCGTTCTCTGGATGGCTCGTCGCAATCGCGGTATTCATCAGCCTGAGCACCACCTTATCACCATGGCTCCTCCAGCTGTTGTCGGCGTGGGTATGCTTCTCCTCTATGGCTTCACAGCTGGCGGTGGTGCAACTTGGTGGGGACCTTATCTCGGCTGGACCATCTTCCAGTACTCATTCACAGCAGTCATCATCATCTCGACAACATTTGCTTCTGAGGCTGCACCCAAGCATCCTGGTCCTGCGCTCGTCACCGTCGTCGGTACCAAGAACATCATCTCTTTCGGAGTTACCTATGGATTGACTCCTATGATTGAGGAGCACGGGTATAAATGGGCTTTTGGTGTCTTGGCTGGATTGTTTGGTGGTATCTTCTTGCTGGGCATTCCTGTCTGTATCTGGAACCCCAAGTGGCGTGCTTACGTTGCTGATAGGGAGGCTCGAAAGGGTACTACTACCACTGATTAAGAACCGAATACGTGTGAGGCCGTGGGCTTGTGCAATCGAATATGGATCATAGCTCTGCGGAAAGCCAATGGGCCTAAATTGACATGCTATGAACAACCCTTTTGTGCTCTTCCGTGACCAAGAACTGTCTGTCCAACCACAGAACTTCTATATGACCTGGCACAAAAGATATGCACTACTGCGACTACTTTTATGCATACGTATAGAATTTTCATTTCCAATTTAATTACAATTTATCTGTGGGCATCTTTCCGACCCATCGTCAATAGTCCGACCGTACACATATTTCGCGTACAAGGCTTTAGACTCTGGTATTCACATTTGGTCGGGTGATACCCGTATCAATCGCTGTACGTCAAAGAACTACTGTTCTTACAACCGGAGTGTCAAATTGGGTGATGTGCAAGCCTTTGTCTTTTACAGAAACTATCTTCACCAAAGGTCCAATGTCAACTTCTTCCCCAGACATCTCGAAACGCACGGCATCATACTCTTTCCCTCCGCTTTCTCAGAATGCGTAAGAACAACATCTCTATGATCAATAAGCCCATCAAGAACTCTCACTTCACAAGTTCCACACACTCCAGTACTACACGTTGACAGCACTCCAGCGCCTGCTTCGTTGATCACCTCCAGAACGGATTTGTCCTCGGGCACTCTTAGCGTTCTGTTGCTTCGAGTTAACACGATATCGAATGAAGTATTTGGCTTCGTGTTTCCAGTGTCATGTGCGGCAAAGCGTTCGAGTCTCAGGACTCCGGACGGTGCGTCTGCCAGGGCTTCTTCGACCCCTGTGAGGAGGGCTTCTGGTCCGCAACAGTATACCCGAAGGTCGCTGAGATCTTCTTGTTTCAGGAATGATTTCAAGTCAAACCTTCTACCGCCTTGATCTTGGCTGACCCAAAGCTTGAAGCGATCTCCATGCTTTTTCGTCAACTCATCCACAAATGCGAGGTTGCTCTTCGATCGTCCGAGGTACAAAATGGAGTAGTCAACACCAGCCTTTTTAGCAGCTTCAGCCATCGGTATTATCGGAGTGATTCCGATACCACCAGCGATGAAGATGGTCTTGCGGGACCCAAACTCGAGATTGAAATGGTTGCGTGGTCCTCGAACTGAGATTTGGCTTCCCTTAGCCGCGTTGTCATGGATCCAATTTGAGGCACCAGTATCGTTCTCTCGAAGTACCGCTATCTGTATGTGCTGATCGTCAGAAGGCTTTGAACAGATGGAGTATTGACGATAGCCAATACTGCCAGCTTGAACGTCGATATGTGATCCAGGAGACCACTTCGGTACCCTCCCACCATCTTTGGGACAGAGCGTCAGGCGAACTATCCTTTTTGTAACATTTTCGACATTTCTAACGACCATCTCCAGTTCCTCCGTCTTTGCAGAAGCCCGAAGCGTGGAGTTGGCATTGGCTTGGCCAACGTTAACGCGCATCTCTTCCAAAGATGGTACATCCCATTCAATCTCAACTTTTTCTGGCCCACGACCAGAATGAACCCTGCAGTATTGAATCTCTTTGTATGGTGTTTTCAGCCTCAAATTCGGTAGGCGCTGTCTAAGCACTGCAAGTTCAGTTCGAAGAAGAAGCCTTGCAAAAGGCGCACCGAGACAAGCATGAATGCCGCGTCCAAAGCCAAGATGCTGGTGCTTATGCTGTCTTTTGAAGTCCAGCCTGTCTGGAGTGTCAAATTTTGTGCTGTCTCGACTTCCAGAGTTATATGCAACAAAGAGTTTCTCGCCAGGCTGGACAATATGATCTCCGATCTTTGACTCTACTTTAACAAGGCGTTCCATTCCTGTGATGGCAGACTCGTATCGAAGAAGTTCTTCAATCGCAGTCTTTCTTGATTCTTCATTTTCTGTGGCGGCGTCCCATAGATCGTGGTGCAGTAAATGTGATATGCCCATTGAGAGGAGGTTGGTGGTTGTTTCATGTCCTGCTAAGAGCAGTCCTGGAATCATGCTGAGATGCTCATAGTCTGTCATCTCCACGACTCCAGCATCTCTTTCATTCCAGATATGACTGATAAGATCATCTCTTCGATCTGTCCTGCGCTCTTCGATGACTTTGGCGACGTATTCGTGGAGATCCAAGACATCTTGAACTCGTTGCTGAATACTCAACTCCTCGTTCGTCTGGGTAATTCCTCCAAATAGCGCGAGACATCTTCCGATCCATTGCCATCGCGATGGGTCAAGACCAGCAACTATAACGATAGTCCGCAAAGGTAGCGGGAGTGCAAAGTTGCTCTTGATATCGACACAACCTTTTTCCACAAACCCATCTATCAGATCATGGGCTGTGGCTCGTAATAACGGTTCAAAGCGTTCTAGTCTCCTAGGCACGAAGAACGATGCTACGCTCTTTCTCAACCTATCATGGTCAGGATTGTCATACGCGAGCAAAGTTCCCCTTTCTGGGACCTTATTTGCGAAGATTCGCTTGACTTGTGGTGGGAAATCAGGTACAGTGGGCCTTGAGCTGAATGCGCTCGGGTTATCGAGAACTGAGACTATGTCATCGTACCGAGAGATCACATAACCTCCTAATTTCTCGCTGTATTCTATACTTGGTGTTTCCCGGGCTGTAGCGAGGTCGTCGAAGAGGTTTCTCGGGTTGCTGAAAGGACAGGTCATTGTGAGAATTGGGCCTGTAAGTTCGACATCTCGCTAACTGGCCAGTTCTCTATCTATATTTTTTATCAAATTCTCTTATGTGATTGACAGCGTCGATATTACCCTGTCTTCTCATCCGGAATAGTTCGGCCGGAGGTGTTGGACGGAGGAGATGTGGGGCCGATCCGAGATCGTCGACCGAACCGAAGCCGACCGAACAGTAGATATTGAGACCGGACATCTCTATAATTCCATTATCTATCTTGTGTTTGGATATAATGAAAGCCCTTCTGCAGGTTTTGCAGCTCGATCTGCTTCTGACGACCTCCACTGAAGAACTACCAATTATCTCCCTACAACCAGGCTCTGTGAAGGTCTCGGCCAAGTTGTTTGGGCAGGCAGGACTCATAGTATATTATTAAGAATCTCATTTCTACGAAATACCCACGTGATAATTGAACATTCTGGCGAAGCTAATAGCCGCAATGTGGTGAGTAGAGAGCTTCCAGACCAATCACGTTTGCCTTGTCTCATTTGAGAGCGAGCGTCAGTGAGTAAACTCACCATGCTCATTAGTGTCTCTAGAGACCTTCAAAGTTCATCCTTTACTGGCAATACCTCCTCTTCTATAAGTCTAGATCTTACTATCGATCTGTGTTGATGCTGTGATTGGTTAACGTACCAATGTCGAGGTGTCTCTGAGGCATAGAGATCTTCTGAATTCCCATAGGGAGCAAGAAAACTTCAGACTCTAGAAGAGGATGCCAAAGTAAACTCATCAAAGATGCCTCTAAACTTAAGCTAACTTACCTAAATCTTCTTATTATTTAGGATTAAGGTGTCAAGTTCTATTGCCTCCCCTAGAATGCCAATGCTGCATATAAATATCGTTATCTCCATTATTACCGATAGTTTACTCCAGGCTTAGTCTTAATGCATGAGTACCTGCATCTGTCAAAAGTATGTGGTCTTGGCGGTGTCTACGGATTTTGGGCAACTTATATCCGATGTCGTACATTCATCCATCTTGCGCTAACCTCGTCTCGTATTCACTCATGTTAACCCAACTACACCATCGTCATGGACACATTCACCAACATTTCGAGTCTTCGCGGTCTAGTAACGGACATGAAATATAAAAGAATAGAACATCCGTAGTGTATAGCCGTTGATTTGTATCATCAAACAATTACATCTCAAACTCATCATGACTTCAAACAACGCTGCTTTCCTCATCGTTGAAAAGGCACCTCTCGAGGTGAAGCTTGCACCATACCCAGAGCCCAAAGAAGACGAGATCATCATCGAGAACCATGCAGTAGCTCTCAACCCCGTCGATTCAGCTCAGCAGAGACTTGGGCCCTCCATCTTCCCGTGGCTCAAGTTTCCAGCTATTCTAGGCTGTGATGTCGCGGGACGTGTCATAGCTCTTGGCTCTGGTGTTACCAAGTTGAAGATCGGCGACCGTGTGGCTGGATATAACATGGGTACCTTTCAGGAATATGTTCCTGTGAAGGAGTATCTCTGTGCCAAACTCCCAGATAACATTGGCTTTACAGAAGCAGCTGTGCTTCCGCTTTGCTTAAGTGTCGCTGTCAAGACTTTGTTCCATCCAGATTACCTTGCGCTTGACCTTCCTACTCCGGAGACTAAGGCCAATGGAAAGGTCATTCTCGTCTGGGGTGGATCTACCAGTGTTGGCTGTAACGTCATCCAACTTGCAAAAGCAGCTGGTTTCGAGGTCATAACCACCGCCTCGCCCAAAAACTTTGACTACCTTAAGAAACTTGGGGCCAGCGAGACCTTCAACTACAACTCTCCAACCATCAAAAAAGATCTCCTCGCCGCCGTCGAAGGAAAGATCGTGGCCGGAGCTATAGCCAACGGCGGCTTAGACGTCTCAGTCTATCCTTCAATCGTGGAAACTTGCGCTGCAGTGGCCCTGAGCTCACCGGACAACTGCAAGTTTGTCCCTCTTACAATGGTACCACGATTCACAGTCCCTGATGGTGTCGAGACCAAATTTGTTGTCCCCCTTGCCACTGATAAAGATCTTGCTTCGTGGATCTTCAACGATTACATCTCGGAGGCGTTGGTGAGTGGAAGTTTTGTACCGGCGCCCGAGGCAAGGGTTGTTGGTCATGGGCTTGAGAGTCTTCAGTCTGCTTTGGACACCCTTAACGCTGGTATATCGGCGAAGAAGATTGTTGTTACGATAAAGTGAGAGGTTGAGAGAAATAGCAGCCTTTGAGAGAAGACCGGGCAGAGGCACTGTTGAAGTCCTTCTGCCTGGTATGACCGTGCCATCTGAGAGTCTTGATAGCAGTTGGTAGCAAAGTAAACCATAGTGTGATGCTTCATTCTCAATTGCCTCAGTTGAGCTTGCTTTTCTCACGTGACATTCAACATCTTGTCCAAATCCACCGTTGATCTCAAACCCATCATTTCTCACTAGCCAAAGCCTTAACAACAGCCTCCAGCGCCCCCCGATCCGCGCCCCTAATCCTATCAACCCTCCCATCCTTCGTCAACGCAACAGCCCTACTCTTCACCCCCTCAACCTGCACACCCTTCGCAACACCATTCTCAAAGAACACAAAAGTCGGCATAGCACTGATTCCATACTTTGCCGCAACATCCTTCACATGATCAGTGTTGACCTTGGCAAAAGCAAGTTGTCCGTCTGAAGCGTGGGTGTCTGCTAGGTTTGAGAATACAGGCGCGATGGCGCGGCAGGGTGGACACCAGTCGGCGTAGAAATCTACGACTACGTGTGTGTTTGACGTGAGGACTGAGTCGAGTTCCGAGGGGGCGGAGATCTTGTAGACTTTGCCGGATGTTTCGGGGATGGGTGAACGATCCGCGAATACGGCCTGAAGGTGAGTGAGTTTTGTGGTTGAAATGAGTTCAGGTTTACTTACCTGGGCAATCATGAAGAGAGCCAAGAGGCCGAAGACGATATAAATTGTCTCCATTTTGTTTCAAGACTTTGGACTTCTGAGTTGTTGAATGATCTTAGCGAGACTTACCGTGATGTTATGTTGTTCATTGTGAACAGGCATGACAAATGGCAAAGGTTGCATCACATGACTTGGCACGCCATCGACCAACGTCCGCCAAGGAGCATCTCAATCATGTCTGCTATTGCGCATGATACAGCTCTATTTAATAAACTTTAACATATTACAAGCAGTAATAACATCAAAAATTGTAATATGGGCAATTTTGATTACGTCGAAGAATACAGGCAATTGTGTTTTATTTGGGGCGTTCGGCGACCCGGTTTAATTACATTCCAGAAGTGAAACGGAGTATTAACCTGTTTCCTTTCAAAGCCAAGGCTGAATACAATGCCAATCTGGGAAATATACTCTTGAATTACTGTAGTCTTATCCGTATAACAATATCTTTTGGGTAGCATTTCTATCGGCTTTGTTTACCATTGAGTTCCGAGTCATGTCAAGATAGATTACCCTATAGACACAACATTTGGTACTTGCTCACATCAACAACTTGAGAATTGAGAAATTAAAGTCTTTATATTATGGTCATGTCTTTCATCGTGAAGTCTATCCTTGATCTAATTTTTCAAAGATGCCAAAGGGGTATGATGAACAGAATCAGAATGCTCGCAACAAACATAAACACCTGGGCTGACCTCAAGCAGACGCAGAGTTGGCCAGCCCAGTCAGTCAAACCCAGATCCGCATTGCCCCGTACTCCTGTCTTGCTATGCAATTCACTGACATTCCAACAACCATGTCGCCACAAATGCTGCACTCGATCGTTTTCACCCAGGTAACCGCTGGTTCTCCAGGCTCCCCATAAATCCTTGCGCTGTCCACCACTTTCTACACCTCTATTCATCTTCCTTCTGTATTGGTACCGTCTAGCCCAAGAATTATGTATCGAAGCGAGTATGTATTCCGCAAAGGTCTTATTAGGCCCAGCCCAGCATCTCAAGGGTTTCTCGAGCATCCGAAGCTGCCATGCCGCTGACAGCAAGCTGTTGGGCAAGAGGGCTCTTTCGAAGACGCTGGAGTCCGGTAGATACCTTCCAACTCTCCGACTCATCGATGACGAATAGGTATCGTTTTCCTTCTCGGTTCGTGGCCCGTAGTAGGTGAAGGCCTTTAGATTTCCACTCTCCAGTCTGGCCAGTCGAAGACGGAATGTTAGTATCTCGAAATGTACGATTGCATAAACCAAGACGACAACAAGTTTTGCATGCGCGCAGCATCTCGGTCAGGTAAACGTCGGCTTCTTCACCTACGAGAGGTTGAGTCGCTCCACGATCGCGTGCTCGAGACGAGGCCATTTTGTAAAGCAAGGGGTTCGGTTTGGTACCGGGGGCGGGGGAAGAAGCAGGCGATTTCAAGCAATGCGGGGGGCACCATACCTCTACTTGTTTCAGCGTCCAAGTTTTGACGTCCCATTCCCGCTGCGGTACATTTCGGACGTCATCATCAATAAAAAGGCCTTCGGTTGTCACACGGAGGATGAGTCCGTCGGTTACAGTTCCAACACCCGAGATAAGTTGACTGGCGGGCGTCTTGGAGAACTGGTTCATGAAAAGGTAAACACCTGAGATGACAATCTTGTCGGGATCCTTGGTTGAATAGGGCCCAGCACGTGTCGAAAGAGGCGGCGTTGTTCGACCCGTAGTCTGCGATGCAGCCCACGACGATTCAGAGCCAAGCGAAGAGACAGAGCCCCTACGCTTCGGTTGCTTGGGCTTATCGTAGGGTCGATATGAGTTCTCCGTGCTGACGCCAGAGACGTTGGACTTGGCGGCAGAAGGAGCGGGACCAGGCTTTCGTTGAGAAGAAGCAGCGCTTGGAGGAGGCTTGGAAGCAGAAGAGGTCGTAGACTTGGGTGCAGCTGGTGGGCGACCGTTTGGCCACATGCTGATCTTCTCACCAACACCTGAGTAGGCATAACTCATGCGCTGTCGATCTGCAGTTTCCCTTGCAGCTCTTTCTCTTTCAGCCTGTTCCTTTTCAGCCTTTTCTTTCTCGGCCTTCTCCCTCTCCATCCTCTCCTTCTCAGCCTTCTCCTTCTCTAATCTCTCTTGCTCTCGCTGTTTCTCAAGCTCCTTTTGCTTCTTCTCTTCTTCTCGTCGCTTGGCCTCCTCAGCTTCCTTCTTCCTCAAAGCCTCTCGTTCAGCAGCAAACTTCTTTCGTCTTGCTTCGCGCTCTTCGGCTTCCTTTTTCTTCTTCTCTTCGAGCTCGCGAGCCTCCTTTTCTCGCTGTGCTTCTCGCTCACGGGCTTCCTTGGCCTCCTTCTCCAGGCGTTCCCGTTCTTTTCGCTCTTCTTCTAGCTTGATGGCAAGTTCCTTGGCTCGCTGCTCAGCTTCGAGGCGCTCCTTCTTATCTCGCGCCTCTTGCTCTTTGCGCTGCCTCTCCTTCTCTCTTTCTTGTCGTTCCTTGGCATCCTTCGCCCTCAGCTCAGCGAGTCTCTTTGCGGCTTCCTCACGTCGTTTTTGCTCGGCTTCCCTGATTTTACGCTCCTCTTCCTTCTTCCTCATTTCCTCACGCGCCTTTTCCCATGAACCCTTTTGCTTTTCACGCTCAGACTTTTCAGCTTTGGATGCAGGGGCCGGTTCAGGCTCGGGTTCCGGCTCTGGCTTGGGTTCCGGTTTGGCCTTGGGCTTTGGTGGAGGAGGGGGAGTTTCAGCCCGAGGTTTTGGTGGAGGTGACGGCTCTCTTGGAGGATCTCTTGGAGGATCTCTTGGAGGGTCTTTTGGTTTGGACTTGGACTTCTTCGATTTCGGTTTTGGGGGTGGCGTTTCAGGAGGCGTCTGTGGTGGTGGAGGTCGAGCCTGGGGAGGTGGTCGAGGAGGTGGCTCGGGTTCATCTCGCGGAGTTGGTTGAGGTTCCGGCTGGGGAGGAGGAGGAGGAGGACGTTCTGACTGCGGCGAGCCATGCCAAGATGTCTTGGGACCATCATGAGGCGGTGGCCTTGGGGGTGTATCATGATGAGGTGGTGGTGGAGGAGGAGTGCCATGAGGAGGAGGGGGAGGGGGCGCTCCGGCGTTTGCTGAACGGAAACCCGAACTCCATCCACCCTGATTATCACGGCCAGAATTTCCTGGACCGCTGAAACCACCTCCGCTACCTGGGAAACCCTTGTCCTGATTTTGGAAACGACCAAGTGCCCATGCACCGAAGCCAACACCCACAACCAGCATCGCTATTGCCATGTTTCCTAACCCATGGAAGCCTTCCCACCACGTACGGAAAGCAGGAGCCAAAGTCTGGCCAAGGACGACGAGGATCAGAGCTGAAGCGAAGCCAGCCGCGAAACTATTTACGTTCGGTTGCATGGACGGTAGGTACAAGAATCCACCTCCAGAGGAGTGCTCGGGAATGACAAAAATGTCATATTTTCCTGGAGGCAAGCCAGAACCCTTTGGCACTCCGCCATGAGGCGGAGGCGGCGGAGGGGGACCGCTCATTCTCGTCTGTCAGCTCGAGTAGGTTGTCGTTTAATATCGGCTCCTCGGACAATGGAGTTTTGGAGTCGCAAACGCAGACGAAATCGATTGTTTAGGGGAGTCTCGAGGAAGCCATCAAGGCTACTTAGTGTGATTGGAACTACGAACAGGTCAGTTAATGCCATCCACATGTTTCAGCACAATGAAGAGCAATGCCCCTCAAAGCCACTGAAGTTGAGAAGTCAGGATTGAGAGTCGAGAAAACCTTCCGTTCCCGAGTGGCTGGGGCTAGGTTACGGCAAAGGGAAACGAGGTTGGACAAGACAGGACTCACGCAAGACAAAATCGGGAGTACAGGGGATTGGATCTACTTGAGGATCCTGAGCACAAAAAGGACGTTGCAAAAAGTATCGGACAAAGAGCAACGAAACAGAAGCGACCGCTTGTGATACAAAATGACAATGCCCTACTTGCTCCAACTTTGTGCAGGTGCTGAAGGTTAGTATGGCGAGTCGGTCAGGTCAGGGACGGACAAGCGAGAAGAATAATAAAAAAACCAGGATGTCGAGAGTTACGAGAAAAGGAGGAAGATACAGGAGAAAAATGGCGCGGTGATCGTTGGTGGAGATGAGGATGGAGAGCGGAGGCGGAGGCAGAGAAGACAAGGTCGAGGCAGCGAGCAAGAAAGAGAGCAAGGAAGCACCATCAGGAGCCACCTCCCCAATTGTTTACTTCCACTTTGGGGAAAGTTCGCTGTGGCCCCGGGCGGGACGGGTGATGGGCCTGGAGGTACGAGAGTACATCGCAGGTACTTTCAGCGCCTTCTGCAGTTAGTCCAGGGCCACGGCACGCTTGAATGCTAGCCCAGCCGCGCTAAATTTCACCCCGCCAGCGGTGCACGCCTTCATCAGCTCCACTCGTTATGGATATCGTCACTCACTCGTGGTTTTTGACTGGTGGATAGTATCAGAAACGAGGATGATGTCTCAACCTATCAGTTGAGAGAGACTAGGAACCAGGATCCAATGCTGCGGTTTTCAACGACTCGAAAGGTGGCTTTTGTGTCCACGCAATTTGGCGAGGCCACTCATCCGTGGTACGATGTTTGAACTGTGCTGAGTGGACAGTTCAATGAGATGAGTTTGATGTGTCAGTTCAACTCTATCTTGATGTGCAAAACGGTCAGGTGCCATTGACTCCGTATCCTGTCCTTGTTTGATCTTTAGGAACCTCATGATATCTCGCTTCTTCCCCAGGGTGAAAGGATCTTAATATCTGATTTATATCGAAGCTCGATAGCCGAGAGATATTCCTTACATGAATTGAGAAGGATGTCTGTTGTCCATTATTAGCTTTGTAGGATATGCTTTTTCAATGGCCATTTCCGTTACTCCCGCTGGTCCAACGGTTGAGCGGCCTTTTAGCCCCCAGCGTTCCTCGTCTTCATTTCCCCTCAGAACATGATACCATTCATAGCTGGGTCTCCCCTGCTTGTCAACTTCGCAACATCTTCTCTCAAGGTTATTCCTTCTCACCTGTTCCTTGTGCAACTCGTGTGGCTTGCTTCCATGAGAGCACTGACTGGACCCTGTGGATCAAAGGAACGAACAGGACAGAGCTCGAACACGGAATAACCGAGAGCTCGGGAACAAGAAAGAGGGGAAGCTGAAGATATCTGGCTCCTTCGTAAGTCCGTGGCCAATTCACGCTGCAGCAAATGGGACTGTCCCCGCCCGTCGATCTCATCAGCAACAGTATCGTGATAGGCATCCAAGCTCCATGATTTGAAACGATTGGGCTACAATTGATATCGCCCTCTTGTCCCGCAGAAGCGCAGCGTTCTTCCTACAGCATGTACGTGTATTTTGCCTCAATGTTTTGACCAAACAACCACTGCAGGATCTCGTATGCATCCCCGCCTCCAAGCAGATATCTGTCGTCCAGCAACATCCGTGATATCTCCCGCATCGGCAACAAGACACTTGATCCGAGTTCCACAACTCGTGGGTAAAAAGTCCAAGCTTCGATACCGCCTGTCAACCCACATGCGCAAAGTTTGCACATCGTCACCGACAAAACGCAGTAAAGAGACTTCAAGCTAGCCATGTCGGCATTTTCACCGCTCTGAATGTTGAGGTAACTGATATCCGCATCCGTGGTCTAGGCCTCATGATACCCTTGTTGCGGCTTAGATGCAATGTCGTGGCCTCCTCTTTTTTGCCGACTGCCCACGGTTACATAGAGATTGTACAACTGGGTACTACGGCACCAATGCCACGGATGTGGTTTTTGTTCTCTTGGAAGTGGTAAAGTCAACGAATACACTTCTAGTTCCCCGTTTCCCGCGGTAGTAAAAAAGTCTAGAGTTTTCGTCCCTGAAGCCGGCAAACTCTCTTCGTGATGACTAATTGCCGACGTCATGCGTTTGGATGTAACCTAGAGGGTTTGCTTTTTGAAAGCCTAAATTAGTTGTTACGAAAGGTCTCAGTGTTTACCAGTGCATTATTTTTCCAACATCACTTATGAAAGACGCACAATGCATTGTGAAGTGTCCGCAGCTTCCGCAGTGCCAAGCAAAAGAGGAGTGGCTGTCCGTTCATCGCCTCACCGCTGAGGCCCTCTATCCACCACCACCCACCTCTTTTTTTTCTTCTGTATCTTCAACACAATTTCCCAGCCACTTCTGAATGCAAGTAATCAATTTTACGAGACCATGCATTATTCACTGCGTGGCTCCAATCATGACTTGTAATTCGTTCAATTCGAGTCCTTTTGTGCAACCAATTGGTGACTGACTCGAAAGCGTTCAGTTGACCACGTTTATTTCACCGTTGCCTAGCAACCAGAGATCAGCAAAATACAACACTGTTGAACCCAGGAAAAAGGAAAGAAAGACGCGCTAAGCTCGTGACGACGTCGGCTAGTGACGTAGCTGCGCCACTAAAAAATTGAGCCTAAAGGACGGGCGGGACGGTCTGAGTCTCAGTTCTTCCACTGTATGTCTGAGCCTGAAGCCAGGTCTCAGATTGAATCATTTCATGCTGAAGGAACAAAGAAGTGGGAAGATGATAACAAGACCTTATTTGTTTACTTCTTCATCTCATGTGATGCTAGTCTCATAGCGCTGCACACATCACTCAGTCACTCACAGGTTGTTACCCTGTTCGTTCTGGTGGGCTGAAGTGACAGACTCAAGTTACCTCAATGTACCTCTGTTGTACTGTCTGTAACCCAACCCAGGGCCATCCTCATGCAACGTGGAACGGTCCGGCGCGCCAGGGAGAGCTTGGCTTGTCCATTCTGATAACCCGTCGAGTCGGATCACCTGTTTACGAAGCAGGTTTTTGTTTTTTGTTTCCATTGTGACGGTGATACTGTGCTGTGATGTAGTTGACTACTACCAGAAACCACGAGGAGTGATGAGAAACAATGGCTTTGAGATTAAGACAAACTCGCGCTTCAAGGATGAGACACAGCTGTCTGTGGAGAAAGGGTCCTGGTGACATTAACGCAACATAATCTGCTTTAGACAAGGAACAAGGTTTCATATGCTGCGCAAACTTTCATGTGCTCTCAACGGTGATGCATTCAGCCTTCATTGCCTGTCAATCTATTATTACTTTACTTTACCAACACCAGCTCATTCTATACAACAGCTAACAAATCAGAACCCCAATTCAATTCAATTCAATCCAAAGCAACACAAGACGCCTTGCATGCCCTATCAAACGCTTCCTCATCGATTCTGTACCAGGAATGTCGCAATGTCTGCAACCCATGATAGCCCATTAGATAATACCCTTAGAATCCAAAGCCACCAAACGGCGACTTGTACCGCAAATAGAACCAGCTTTACCAGTAGCAAGAGAGGTAGCTGTCACATCTTCCTGATCCGGTTGTTCGCGACCTTCAGTTTAGCCCCTGTGCGATCAGTGTCCTGGTCCAGTTCATCTAGTAGACGAATCTGATCTTCGACCTCTTCATGGATTCGCTCGCCCATCTCTCTTTGTCGTCGAATGACTGCAGTAAGCTGTTCAACGGCAAGATCTTGGCTTTGCATCTCCTCCTTTTGTAGCTGTAGTACTCCTTCGTTACCCAATTCTCGAGTCTTATCAGTCTCTGGTAAAGGAGCTCCTAGGACACGACCAGCAGGACGGCCTCCCTTTAGTAGTCCAGCTTTGTCGGTCGCTGAGGCCTGGCCTTGACTTAAGCCGCCTCTTCCTGAAGCTGATGTGGAATTGGGCATGCTGTTGGAAAGCTTATCCAAGCCCTCGCGTTCCATGCGGGCTTGGGAAACTAGATCCCGGCGGCGCCGTAGCTCACCCTCACCCAGTCGTTTTGACTCTTGTATCTTTCGTAGTCCATCCGCAAGTGTTGCGATCAGCGTTCCACTTCGGACAAGAACCCTTTTGGCCGCTGCGCCCGCTTCCGCGGCGGCCGTTGAATTGCCATTATCAACAGCAGCATCTCGCCGCGACAGACATTGTCTAGCTTCGTGAAGATTCTGCTTCAAGTCTCTATGAATATCCAACCATGTTCCCGGATCCGCAGCACCAGCGACGGCACTCTTAATCATGCCGCCTGCTGATATGGCTGAGTTGGTTGTGCTCGAGCTTGGCAGGTTCAAGAAAGCTCTCCAAGCTGATGTGTCACGCCATCGTCGATCAGGTGATTCCGCAATCGCTCGTAGATATTTCTCGAGCCCTATCTGGCGGTCTCGGGTCAACTCGACTGAGTTGACAGTCGACTTCAGCCAGTGTTTCGCTGGTAGAGGTTCTGGTGGCGGAGCGCCAACTTGTTGCGTCAGAGCTTGGTGGAGGGCATCGAAGTCTGAGTATCGCTTTTGGACGACAAAGGATCGCAGAGGTAGTCGAAGTGTGATATTGTAGAGCGTGTAAGGCTTCTTGGAGCCTTCGTCGGAAACGCTCGTTGAAGGGATGGCGATTTCTGGCGGCGGTGCCATATTGAAGCTTAGTTGTAGTGATGTTACTCGGTGCTGTAGAGTGGTGCTCGATTGAAATGAAAAGTATGAAAGAAAATGATACTGTTGCTCGCCTGTTACGTGATTGAACGGCGAATGTTGATTGTGTAAATTAAGACATGAAAGATGATAAATGCGTCATGGTCATGGCGTCCATCACAAGAAGCTGCCTGACGTATTCGTACAGCTTATTATGCATGCCCAGGCTGTGTTTTAGTGCTGGTGGCTGACCGTCGGTGAAGGTCACGGTGCTCGGCAATTGACGGCACTAAACTATAATTGGTTGCGCATGCGACCAGTTGCCAGAGTGATCCACAATTGAAGTAAAGACCTTTGAGCCTCACAATGCAATGTGAACAAGGTCATGTGAGAACTCATGATGATGGCATTGATAAAGAGGATGTCACTCGGGCTTCGTCCTACGTGGTCTTTGGTCCAAAGAGTTGTGTATGCTCCGAACTTTACAGAGTGCATTACACTTGGACGAATTGGTGTTCATAGTTCGTTATTGGAACTAAGTTTGAATAACCACTGTCTCGCCAATGCCTTCTGAATCAGGTACTCTTCAGTCCCTTGTTTTCGTAGTGATGATGACTTTTGCAGCACTTATTGCTTGAAAACTCCCATGGCTGAGACATGTGAGTCATGTCTGCAGCTCGAGCAACGAGTGTAGATATTCCTGATAATCACGACTTTGCCGGCCAATATGCAGTATAAGAAGTCAAAGGGATTTAAAATTGAGTTTTCATGGCTCAAGGTCATGAAATGTCGCTACTGTTCTCTATTCTGACTCAGGTCATCGGTATGATATACATTTCCTTTTACAAATACTGACGGGACTGAAGCATCACTGGACTAACAGACGATGAAAACTAACGCTATTATTAAAGCTCCTAAGGATCGTACACGAGACCGAAAGCCTGACCTCGAATCATACGCTTGTCTTCAAAATGCAATCACTCACTATAAGTGATATGAAAGGATTTCTGGTTCTGAATCATTGGACTTGAATAAGTATTTAATATCATGTCCCAATTTTTTCCAGTTCTCAAGCACCATTGTGCCTCTTGTGTAGATACAGATGAGGCAGATAAGATTTCGTTTCCTTCCACATTCTCTCGATTTCCGAAGTTATCTTAGCCCTTCTTGAAGGAGAAGTTCCTAGGCCACCATTTGCCGAAATGACAGGCCAGACATTCGCTCGGATCTTCAATAGTTGTTGAGTTTCACCTGCACCACTGAAAGGATAGATGGTATAACACTAGATCGAAAGGTATATGGGTTAGTAGTATTCGAGCATCTGGCACTCGCGATGACAAGACTCGACAAGTGCAAAGACAACTTGAAGTTGCACAAATATGATTACGGATGAAGGGACTGTACTTTATGCCATGGTCTTACAAGAGTACTCATCACGTATTGTAAAATTCCAATGTTTGATTGACATTGTCGTTTAAAGTACATATGTTAAGTGTGAGTTTGATGGTAGGCTGCAGTCTCCTTTGTCTGTGCAATCTTCTGCTTTCGTAGGTCAATCTTATAGATACTACAATTCAGAACCTTGCAAAAATTCTTGGGGATGAGTGCTTGCCATGGATTTCCAAGTCTATTAGTAACACATTATCCTCTCCTTGAATGTCATTCGCATCACATCCCAGCCCAAATAGGTTATACTTTGGGTATCTCAACGGCTTATGTACAAAGTCATCACATTACTCTGACAACTCAACCAAGCCATGCTTGTTTCTATACCACCAAGTTTGACTTTGGCTTCCATGGTCTCGGCCCGTCCCGCTCCCGTTTGCTGACCACAACGTTACTCGAAACACGGCGACACAAGCTCGAGTGTCCAACAAGATCAATTTTTACCCTCATTCTCGAGCACTCTATGCGAGTCCCAGAACAAGTACAGAGAAAAGCTTCGCTTCTAGAGCCAAATCTTGTCGTCCATTAGCTCAACGAACTCCCTCCCCAAAACTCTGGGGTCACAACTCCATATCCATGCCTTGTTTAACTCGTGCCAGAGAAACCAGTGTGTCCCCCTAGCCCAATCGTGGTCACATTAATTACATCTCCCAAGCCTTTAATGTCATCAACAAGTTTAAAAGGTCTCTTGGTCATCCAGACCCTCACCCTCAGCAGGAATCTCGAATCCCTCCTCTGTTGAGTAAAGAATGGTTTGGATCTGCTTCACAAGACCATCCTCTTGCTTCTCAAGCTCAGGATCCTCGTCGACAGCCTGTTGAACAAGAAGCTCAATATCGCGCAACTTGCTGAAGTAGAAGTCACGTTCCCTCTCTAGACCTGTAACGGTTTCCTTCAATGTGGCATTTTCTTGCTGAAGAGCAGCGGTAGCAGGTCCAGCGGCCTTTGCAACTCGGGGTCCACCACTGGGGGTACCGCTACCTACGCGACGAGCGGCGCCAGTGCTAGCGGCAGGTCGTGGTGCGGCGGCGGCGGGAGGCATTGAGCCACCCTTTCGGCGGGCAACGGCATCGTACTCGTGGTCGGGGAAGTTAAGATCCCAGAATCGCTTTGTCCACTGGAGGAATTCGAGGTTGTCCTGCATCTTGCACTTGATAAGTGCGGAGACAGGAATAGGCTTGTCAATTTGGTGCTTGGTAAAAGTGTCTGGAGACACGTCAGCATGTTGTTCGTTGGCAAAGGTGGGAGGGAAATAACTGACTTTGCAAGACCTTGAAATTTTGGATATACAGGTATTCAGAGTTCACATTGAACTTGACCTTGGACATGGGGACATCCATGTAGATACTGTCAAAAACCTGGCAGAGAGCAGCACTAGAAAGGCGGTGTTAGAATGTGTCATGCTGAAGAAGATGACGATTGCTCGTGTGGTGGTCGTATGGATTGGGAATGGCATGTGAGGCTCCCTCGAAGTGGTCGTGATAGCGATCGCGGGGTTGTTTGGTGTTGTTTATGATCCCTTGCTTCGATCATGGCATGGTGCAACACGACGCAGCGATCCGTGACGAGGGGGCGGGGCAAACAAAAGATGGATGGACTCACCCAGTACCGCATTGCTCAACCTTGGTGATGTTAAGCTGAAGCAGGCTGTTAAGCCATGCAACAAGCTCTTGTCTGTAGCATTATGCATTAGTATGTAACCAATACTTGGGGGTAGTTGTCTTGTAAACAGCTCCAGAAGGCATCACTAACCTCGACTCGCCCATTTTGAACTGATTGTTGTAGGGTGTGATTTATTATTCGGAATCGTGAAAGCGCAAACAAGCGACGTAGGAGAAGGGCGGAAGGCGTTCGTTTCTAGAGGATATCGTCTCGGGAAAAGAAAACAAACGGAACGAAGGCGCAAAAGGGAAGCTAAGGAGATTGCGTTCGTCGGGTTAAGTTGGGGAGAAATTAAAAGCAACTGTCTTCGCGCTGATTCCACGAAGTTGTTCATGGGTAGCCTGTCGCCCAATCAACCAACCGGCCGTTGGTGGGGGGTACCCAGAGGGACCAGCGCTTCTGCTGTGTTATTGCTGATTGTGTTTGGCCCAGAAGGTACCGCCACGTACCGTAACGCTAGAACCCCTCCTACCCCCCGCTACATCCCCTAAAGCTTGCTCTTGCCCAGTGTAAAGTCACGTGGTGGGCCGCTCATTGATCTTCAGGAAAGTTGCAAGCTCTCACCGCCAAAATTTCCAGAAGCGGCAGAAAAAAAAGTTTCGAGATTTACTGTGAAAGGTGCCCCACTGCTTCTGTCGCGTCTGCAAATCTTGATTAAAGAGCTGTACGAGTGTCTTTAATTCGACAAGATGGCGCCCTCACAAAAGCGAAAACCCGCGGAAGACGACTTCATCTTTACAATTGACGACAATGACGATATTCCCGTCGAGGAGGAGGAAGTGACCGCGCAGCCTCCCAAGAAGAAGGCCAAGACCAGCAAAAAGTCAAAGAAGTCAAAGCGTGCCGCCAGTCCTGAAGATGACGGGGAGGAGAATGGCGTAGAGGGTATTTGGGGATTCAATGATGACGACGATGGTGCTATGGACTCCGAATTTGAGTTTGGTGCTGAGGAGGCTGCCGAGCTTGGTACGGTAGAATTCGAGGGATGGGGGTTTGATGGCGCAAAGAAGGGCATGGCTGTCGACAAGAAGGGTGTGGATCTGGATGAGATAATCCGAAGACGTCGAGAAAAGAAGCTTGGAAAATCTGATCCCGAAGAGACTGCCGATGCTGAAGAGAACGAGGCCATGGACGTTGATCTGGACGACGATGATGACGAGGTTCTCGCAGACGACGCATTTGGTATGAACGTTGCTTCCGACGTTGAGGAATCTGGTGATGAGAAGGACGAAGATGATGAGGACGAGTCTGGAGCTGAAGACAAAGACGAGAATGAGGAAGATGATGATGATGCCGCTTCAGATAACGACTCTGTCGCTACTCCCACAGGACACCCTGACGACGATGCTTCCGACGATAGCGACGATGAGGACGCTGAGGAAGAAGCGAAACGAAAGGCTTTCTTCGCCCCTGAGGAAGAGGAGGCATCTGGCAAGAAGAGTGCCACGTCTTTCCAAGCCATGTCTCTGTCACGGCCAATCCTCCGTGGTCTTGCTTCAGTAGGATTCTCCAAACCTACACCCATTCAGGCCAAGTCAATTCCTATTGCGCTTATGGGTAAGGATCTTGTCGGTGGTGCTGTCACTGGTTCCGGAAAGACTGGTGCTTTCATTGTTCCTATCCTGGAGCGTTTGCTATACCGACCCAAGAAGATCCCCACCACTCGCGTCGTTGTTCTTACTCCTACTCGTGAATTGGCTATCCAATGTCACGCTGTCGCCACAAAGCTTGCTGCCTTTACTGATATCAAGTTCACTCTTGCTGTCGGTGGTCTGAGTCTCAAGGCTCAGGAGGTCGAGTTGAAGTTGCGACCAGATGTCATTATCGCTACTCCTGGTCGTTTCATTGATCACATGCGAAATTCTGCCAGCTTCAACGTTGATACAGTTGAGATTATGGTCCTCGATGAAGCTGATCGTATGCTTGAGGACGGTTTCGCCGACGAACTGAACGAAATTCTCACAACACTCCCTAAATCACGACAGACCATGCTCTTCTCCGCTACCATGACTTCGACTGTCGACCGTCTTATCAAGGTCGGTCTTAACAAACCTGCTAGGGTTATGGTGGATTCTCAGAAGAAGACTGTTACTACACTGGTGCAAGAATTCGTTCGTCTGCGCCCTGGCCGAGAGGAGAAGCGAATGGGTTACCTGGCACATGTTTGCAAGAACCTCTACAAGGAGCGAGTCATTATCTTCTTCCGACAAAAGAAGGAAGCTCATCGAGCTCGAATTATCTTTGGTTTACTTGGCCTCTCATGTGCTGAGCTTCACGGTAGCATGAACCAAACACAGGTTAGTCTTATTCCGATTCACAGCTATGGCCATCACTAACACTGTTTAGCGTATCTCAAGTGTTGAGGACTTCCGAGACGGTAAGGTGGCGTACCTATTAGCCACCGATCTTGCTTCCCGTGGTCTTGATATCAAGGGCGTCGATACCGTCATCAACTACGAAGCGCCTCAGTCACTAGAAATCTACGTCCACAGAGTCGGTCGAACAGCTCGTGCTGGTCGCAAGGGTACTGCTTTGACATTAGCTTCTGAGACAGACCGCAAGGTCGTCAAGGCTGCTGTGAAGGCTGGCAAGGCCCAAGGTGCCAAGATTGTCAGCCGACAGATTGAGGCCGCAGAGGTTGATGCTCTTCAAGCACAGATCGACGAGATGGATGATGAAATCGAGGAGATCATGCAAGAAGAGAAGGAAGAGAAGCAGCTCGCCCATGTCGAGATGCAAGTCAAGAAGGGCGAGAACCTGATCCAGCACGAGGCTGAGATCAAGGGACGACCTAGGCGGACATGGTTCGAGTCTGAACACGACAAGAAGCAGTCCAAACAAGCCGGCAAAGATGAACTCAACGGCATGAGAGAGGCGATGAAGAAAAAGACGGGCAAGCTAAGCAACAAGGATAAGAAACGCCTTGACGCAAAGCAACTACGTGCCGAGGGTGGCGGAGAGTGGAGGAAGGGCAAGTCGTCAGAGGCTGATATGAAGGCCCGACATAAGGAACAGGCCAAAACAAGAGCCAAGGGGAGGGCGAGTCAGGGCGGAGACAAAGACGCGGCTCGTAGCAAACCCAAGGGAAAGGGAAAAGCCGGTGGTAAGAGGAGATGAGCTAAAAGTTTAGAGGAGTTTATTGGCAGCGATGTATAGGCAGATTTAGGTTAATAATATCCATGACCATACAAAACCCGTCTTCATTTTTCTCTTTGGAGGAGTATCTAGCCTGATTCGGCGCTTTGTGAGGAATGTTACAATAAGGTTTGAAGAGATTGGTCGTGCCTGTTGATCTATGCAACCCTGATCGCCAATCTGACGTTGATGCAACGCCAACTGATTGACGAATCCGTCCAACTCTTGCACCATTCAGAGCCGTATATTACATATTATCACCAATCATTGGCCAAGGAGGTTCACAAAGTAAATTACTGTATTAAGTATCAAGGAGTGTGTAATCGCTCGCTATACCGCTAGCACCATTGCTTTTGTCGTAAGAAGCACGCTATATATCGCTTCATCATTTGTAAAAGAAAGTCCTCATAACTTCATTCGTAAAACCGGGTCCAAACTTAAAGGTTGATGGGAGCAATGCCGATGGATGCCACAAGTTCGCTCTGGACTCTGATGAGGTTGACGATGGCATTGTCGAGACCAGTGATAGTGGCACTGCCGCCGGCATTCGCAGCTCGTACAGCAGCTGCGAAGAGGAGAACAGGACTGATGAATGGGTTCAAGGCAGCCTTGACAGCATTGATCTCGGCCTGGAATGTAGCTCGCAGAGCAGGAGTCAGGTCTGTGACTGTAACGGAGACGGTGGCACCGATGTTCTCAACGATGTCGATAACAACGAGAATAGAGGCAGTGAGTGTAACGATCTGTTGGTTGGTGAGACCGATGGCTTGGCCTGCAACACCGCCAGCTGCTCCTGTTGTGACGCTGACAATCCTGGTTGTGGAAGTGGCAAGGCCTTGGGCGATGGCTTCGTAATTGGTCTTGAGAAGGGCTTGGGCTTCTACGATGACTTGGGCATCTACGTTGTTCTTGATAAGAAGGACATTATCGTCTGTAATGGTTTGTTAGTATAGTAAAGTTCGAGGCGTTCGAAGAGAGTGACTTACTGATCTCGTTGAGAGTTACCACAAAGGAGCCAGATAGAGTGTCAACCGAGGACTTGATGGTTCCTGTGACGGTTTGTTGCCGACGGAAAGGAGAAGCCGTGGCGAAGGAAGCAAGAGTGAGGAGGCTGAGGAACTTCATTGTGATTATGATAAGTCAAGTGATCAAGTTAAGTCTTGAATGTATGATGAGCTGATGAGTTGTGAGTGAAGTGATGGTGATATTTCCTTCCGCCGGACCAAGCAGGTTATATAGACTTCACTTCAACACCAAGTCCAGAAGTCATCGTATAAATCGCCACCTCGGTCTCAACAACTAACACCCACGGCTTATCGAGTGCAAGCTAACAGGTTTTGGGCAACCCTCCCGAGCAACATTCCAAAGCCCAGACACACATCACAGCTCTAGACTGGACCCCATTCCAGCGCCTCAGAGTTAACTTTGACAGTTTCCTCCGAAGACTAGACCTAACGCAGTCTCGGACCACGCCGTTGCCGCCGGGCCGTTACGAGGGGGCGCTTGTTCAGGGGAGGGGGATGTGCATGCAGCATTTGCCCTTTGAAAGAAACACGCATGTTGGTGAGAGACAATTTGTCGTCTGGAACGGTCGATCGTGTCTTGGTTCTTCAGAGGTTGTTGGGGGGCGGCTATTGAGAGGGGAGGGATTTCTCCATGCTCGAGACAACAGTGATGATCGGGGGTTTGTGGTCGAGCGGCAGACAAGTTGACTTAGACTTGAATGTCTGAGTTCGGGAAAGCCTATTGCAAAGGTGCTCCGGCACTATCTTAGTTCCTGGGGTTAGTTCAAGGGGTGCCGTGTTTGTCTCCCGTGCTTAGTGTCTGTATGTAGAGAATTGGCTTGGACTACTCGTGGTTTCTCAAATCAACTATTCGATGCTAAACATAAGATCAGCAACCACGATCGAAAACCTCGACTCTTCACTTAGTGTCTCAGAGAAAAGATGTTAGGTCATACTCTTTCAGCCACTGAGCTAATAGCAATAACGATCCTCAATGATCTCGAAACACGAAGCATCTATGAAATCTTGGCGCTGCACAAGATCGCAAATCGGATATCTAGATTGTGATTAACTCTGCAGCTCGAGATATGTGATGAACGCCTTGATCTCACCTGTAAAAGCAGGGTTAAAGACCAGTCGGCTTCCGAGTCGTTGTGTGGGTTGCCTGTGTGTCTTAGACAGTTGTCACTTTGCCGTTATTTGACAACGGACAATATTTCGGAACTATCCATTGTCTCACATATAAGCCATGTTCGCGGTGTATTCACTACTTGTGGAATATCTTGCATCACAGATCTGGACCAGAACAACTGCAACCTCACGGCACAGTGAGTTCTAGGCCATCGATGCAAACTCTGATTTACAACATCTTGATCATTTCTGAGACAATTCTCTGATTCAGCTGATTTAGGAAAAGTTAGATCTGAGCAGCAAGATTGCGGAGCCTCACTTGAAGGTGTTTAGATTTCGTCCTGTGATTGATAGATGGGTGAGATCGAGATGAAAGAGGGCGTGCAAGTTTCATACAGACCTATTGGTTGCATATGCACCATTTGAAGATCCGTAAAGAAGATACGGATAGACGACATCCTTTTTGGAGGTTGCACAACTTGTGAACTTTGGGTCGATGCAGCGCAGGCACAGTCTCTAATTTGGAAATGACCCGAAGCTTGAGGTTTGACACTCGTAACTCGTCCAATCTACATAGCTTGGGCTATAACATTATGGATATAATCATGATCAATAGTCTATCTTACTGCCATTACGTACATAGAATCGGGCGGAGTTCGTGTCTTGGTAGTACATATCGACTTGGCCTAGACCAAGAGCTGTTCTATGGAGGAACGGACTTGGTCATCCCAAGTATTCTTATTTCTCGATCCTAACAACTCTTTAGTAATACTTCTCACTCAATAGCCATATTGTTTGGCGAGTATAATTTATCCGAATTAAACTAAAACTCCGAAGGGAGCTACAGCTGGCCATCGAGCCGATAACAATAACTTGTCTGGTTAATCGACGAGGAGCTAAGCATGAACCAATAGAATACATTTTAGTGACGCCTGAAAGTCTCTGTGATATCTGCCAAGAGGAATTGTGTTGATTATATTCCCCCTCGCGCCACAATGAGCATGTGCAAAGATTAGGGGGTGAGCATTTTGTTCAGCTGTCCTTGAGTATACACACCATAAGCTCGATCGACTAGGTGGAAGGTATCGATGTCAAGTTATCTCGATACTTAGCAAATAAACTCTCACGAGGCCGTTATCATTCAGTTTCTGAATCACTGATTAGCATTCCAATGGCATGAATAAGCTCGTGTCTCGTAGATCCAGGCCTCAACCCTAAACCATATCACGATGAGATCGACATTTCTACCACATTCTCAGCGGTCAACCAAGCCTCTCTTGTCTTGATAGGCTTGCTTGGAATCTTGTTGTTCAGCTGATTAGTGTTTAAGACAACTTCTGGATCAGAAGCTAATAACGGCAGAGTGAAGCGCTGATCGCTTTTGGTCGTTTGGATATGGTGGCGGATGAGAATCTTGATTTACTGAACATACCTACTTTTGGACGTAGAGAGCTTTAGACATACTGCACCGGTTCACTGCTCTCGAAATTGACTATCTATGGCCACAGTTGCGTTCAGGAAGTGGAGGGCGTCATCACTTGTTTCAGTCTCCTTAGCACGACAGGCAATGAGTCTCGATGGTCGTGTGAGACACCCTGGGCTTCTATCGTAACGTGACATTGGCTGCCGTCATTGTAGCTTACCGACGTTGAGAAGTCTTTGGAGATCATCAAGCACGATTGAATTGACGAAATATGAGGATTCAATATGCTGCAGGAGTCACAAGAAGCCACAGAAGAGGAAACCAGGAAAAGAAGCATGATGCAACTCCCGCTGTCACGATGATATCGAACCTTTGATCAAGTCAATTATCTTCAATTTTTTACTAACTCCTCAAGATGGCAAAGCTTTTTAGCACCCGTGCCCCCTCATTCATATGAACACAATGAATTAACTGTACAAACATGCCAAGCGGTTCGCGGTAAATCGAGAGATAGGCCCCCTTTTCAGTTTTCTTTTCTTTTTCTTTTTTCGTTTTCATTCCCATTACATACCATTCGCCTTCTCTTCCAGAATGGACACCACACTAGGAGTCTCCTGAGGAGCAGGAGCAGCAGTGGGCTTCTGAACAGGGCTGGCGGGTCTGCTGGTAACGAACTGCACATCATATTAGTGTTGACTCTACTGATAGAGGTTGGTGAAGACTTACGTTGCTGGCTGCGCTCAGGAGAGCAATCAGAGAACTCTGTACCACATCCTCGTGGATGCCAACACCCCATACCGACTGCTTGCTACCGACGGGCTTGCACTCGATGTATGAGGCAGCCTTGACACCGCGTCCCTCGCCAATGGCGTGCTCCTTGTAGTCATTGACATCAAACTCGATGTTAAGCTCCTTGAGGGCAGAAACCATGCTGGAAATAGGCCCGTTGCCACGACCACGCAGCTTCAGCTCCTTGCCATTTACCAGAAGGACACCCTCAAAGATACGAATGAAGTCCTTGGTGTCTTGGGTTCTGCCGTGGGCTGCGGGGGCGGGAGATCGCGATCGGTCAGGGGTGATGCTGTAGTCTACTAGGCTGAAATGGGGGTTGTCGTTGAGAAAATATGTCTTCTCGAACAGAGAGGTGATTTCATTGGCCAGCAGCTCGCGTCCGACCTCCTCACTCTGCTTCTGGACGACCTTAGAGAAGGCGACTTGGAGACCACGGGGGAGATCAAGCTGGAGCTTGGTGTGCACGATGAAAGCGCTTCCTCCCTTTCCAGACTGAGAGTTGACACGGATGATGGCCTCGTAGTTGCGGCCGATATCTCGGGGGTCCAGGGGCAGGTAGGGCATGCCGTTCCAGGGATCCTCGTGGCCAAGACCCTTGGCCTTGCGGTCCTGGAATCCCTTCTTGATGGCATCTTGATGGCTGCCAGAGAAAGCAGCGCATACCAGGCTGCCACCGTAAGGAGCACGTTGGTGGACGGGGATCTTGGTGCAAGACTCAACCATGTCGATAACTGAGTTCAGGTCGGAGAAGTCGATGTTAGGGCTGACACCTTGGGTATACAGGTTGAGGGCCAGGGTGACGAGATCGACGTTTCCAGTTCGCTCGCCGTTACCAAAGAGACAGCCCTCTACTCGGTCAGCGCCGGCCATTTGAGCAAGCTCAGCTGCAGCAATACTGCACCCACGGTCGTTGTGGGGATGCAGGGAGATACAAACATCCTGTCTGTCGCCAATGTTGTTGCAGAAGTATTCGATCAGGTCAGCGTAGATGTTGGGTGTCGCCAGTTCTACTGTGGCGGGAAGGTTTAGGATAATCTGGTCGCCCTTCGCTGCATCAGGTCCCCAAGCAGCCTTGACAGCCTGGCAGACTCTCACAGCATAGTCAGGGTCTGTGTCTGAGAAGCACTCAGGAGAGAACTCGAATTGCCAATTGGTGCCAGAGGCCTCGGGGTTATCCTTTGTCAGAGATCTGACCAGCTTGGTACACTCTACAGCAAGCTCCAGGGTCTGCTCCTCAGTGTAGCCGAAGACTACTTGACGGAAGCATGCGCTTGTAGCGAGGTAGATGTGAATAATAGCGTTCTTGGCACCGCGGACAGACTCGACGGTTCTGCGGATGAGGTCGGGTCGGCAGGGGGACAGGACTTGTAGGAAGACATCGTCGGGCACAGCTCCTGGGGTCTGGATCAGGCGTTGGGTGAAGTCGAAGTCGGTTTGGGAGGCAGAAGGGAAAGAGACCTCAATCTCCTTGTAGCCTAGATCGCAGAGCATCTTGAAGTATCGCCACTTCTCCTCGCCGTTCTATCATGTTAAGTCAGTTTCGTGTCGCAATTGGGCGCGTGAAGGGGGAGAACGTACCATGGGATCGGGCAGACTCTGGTTGCCATCGCGCAGACAGCTCCTGCAGAGGAATTAGAATTGTTCAGGATTTCCATGAGTGTCAATTGGTGACGTACGAAAGCCATCGAGGGGCCTTTTCGATGGTCTTGTCGGGCCATGTTCGATTTGGCAGTTTAGGAGCCTAAGCATGTTAGTCACAAGACCACTTAGAGTTGATTGAAAACAAAACTCACCTTAAACGGCTTGTATTTCTTCCAGGGTTCCTTGAGCCTGGGAAAGGAAAAGTTACTATCATGGCATGTTTGAAAGGCCGATATCGCAACTTACATAGTCATCTTGGCAATGAGACGTTGGAAAGCGACTTGATCTCAATTCCAAGCAGAGTGTGTCTGTCAAAATATAGGGAAGAAGAGGGAAGAAGCACGAATACAAATAGTTCTCAGAATGAGACGTCAAAAAAAAAAGATTGAGTCAGTCAAAGTCAAAAAGTTTGAGTCACGGTAGCGGAGGCGGGGTAGTACGGAGTTACAGTAGATTTGATTTGGAGGCGCGCCCTGAGGTGGGAGGTTACAGCGAGTCCAAGACAAGGTAATTGACATTTTTGGAGGGGCACTCCCTTGCGAGATGATACAATTGCTCTGTAGCTGTGCTTGTTTTTTTGCTTGTACCTTAATTGCCCGCTGTTATCCGAATCCGGAGTCGGAGGAGGGCCCCATTAAAAGTTTACTAGTGAGGACTGGAGAAGAGTTATCCTTGTCCAGATATTGAAGATATACCTGATTGTTGGTATATAGGTAATGATAGGAAATCTACAGGTTGAGAAGTGAATTCATTGCAACTGGTTAGTTTGAGTGTTCTGTGAGGAAAACAGTTTGGTCAACCAGTTATAAAGACTGAGCTTCTTTGAAAGCATATTCCTTTTACTGACACTCAAAGGTCACCATTCAGGTATAATTCATGGCTACGAATAAGCCGACAACATCAAATTCAAGGTAACACCGATCAACGGCATCGGCCTCAAAACACGGCCGGTACCTAGTAAGTTCTCGGGGGTCAAAACTGGATCTCGGCATATTATGGATACCCCTCCGATTTTATCACGGGAGCCCGCCCTGCCCTGCTACTGCCACTAGGTACATACATCTACAGCAGGTTCCATTAAATGGTCATGGCTGATGACGTAAGGTTGATCAGCACAAGAACTGCCACTGAGCTTTCTAGACCTGGCAAGATCTAGACTAGACTAGGGTCACGAGCTACACTGTCTCTCTCTCTGTCTCGGCATCTGAGAGCAGCAAACCATCTTCAAATACACTGAAACTCGTCCAAATCATGTGCTACAGTCATCATCTCCGTCGTTAACTGACAGCCCTGCCAGTGTCAGTGTCAGGCTGAGCAACCCCCCATCAGAAGACTCAGCCGCCTGAGATCTGTCCCTACCTCCAATAAATACCCCAAATTGTCAGCCGCCATCGCAATCCCGAGAGAGCCTCGTCTGACTTCAGTATAGTCCAATTCGTATAAAAAGTCGACAAGCTGGCGCCGTTCAGATTCTTCGGTCCTTATCGTCCTCACCCGCGTCACAAGCAGAGCCTCGCACGCTTCCTGTTCCCTCGCGCCGTCAGAGACCGATACCGTGAACGACTACTCAATTTCCACCTCAACACTCTTCCGCTTCTCAAGCACAGGTTCCAATCCCGAATTTATCGATACATTCTTGAGCGCCAACGGAGGCGCGCGGATCAATCGCGCATTTTGGATATCGTGAAGCGGCAAGGTAGACAGCTCTGGCTAGGATCGCAAGCGAATCGCCCTGTCAAGCATGCGAGGACCCGATCGAAGGGTTCAGTGGCGCATAAAACGCCCCAGACAGCAGGAATCATGATGGGATATGGCACTAACCGGGCTACGAGCCCTGGTGATGGTGAGAGGGGGTATAGGAGGAAGCGCTTGGCAGCGATGGCGGGAAATCTGTACAGAAGCGGCCAAGCCGCGGTGTCCGAGATCAAGGAATCATATGCCCAGACCAGGGCAGGACCTGCGGCTTCAGGACATGAGAACCACGGACGGATACACATCCCCGGTGCATTTCCAGATGTTGCAATCACCGTAAAGGGTGACTGCCAAATGGTTCTGTTTCCTTCATACGCGAAACAGCATACCAAACGGGATTGGGGCGAGATGGCGATGCACGACTCGGATGCGCCACATGGAAGTATCAAAGACGAAGGCTTTTGGCGACAAGAGTGGGAACGGAATGAAGATGAAAGGGCAATAGTTGATGTTGACGTCCGAGGCTGGATCTATACACCTCACAGTGGTCCGATGACGAGGAGAAACAGAATTCTCATCGGTTTGGCGCGGCAGCTCAGTGGCATCCCTGCGCCAAGGGCAGATCAAACGTATAACCCAGAGACTGGGCTTCCACGAACACATCACCAAATCCACGAAGAGCAAAAGGAGCAGGAGAAGATCAACTCCGAAGCTCGGCGCATTGAAAGAGTAGGACAGCGAGAGAAGCAGGTTGCGTACCAGGGAGGCTTTAGTGAGAAGACGCCTGATAACGATGATCCTCTCACGGACAGCTTTTACTATCCTTCTCGCCAGGGTAACCAATCTCCAGATTCGGCCCCTTCCAGTCCGACGATGCCAGCCAAAACCATGACATCAAATACCACTACCAGTGAGATGAGCGAGAGTGATCTCATTCTGGCTAACGCTAACCTCATGGCTCGAATTGCCCCTTTCATGACCAACCCTTCTGTTGCTCTACCGGTCACTTTCTTCTTCTACAACAGCGAGAAATCTCAATCAAAGACCGTCATGACTAACGATGCGGGTCATTTTGTCATTCGTGCTGCTCTCGATTTTATTCCAACTCATGTCAGAGTTTTGGCGGATGAGGACCTATCAGCTATCCAAGAGATCAAGGTCATTGAACCATATGGAGTCAGTCTCATTAGCGACATTGACGATACAGTCAAGAAGTCCAACATTTCCGCGGGTGCCAAAGAGATCTTCCGCAACACCTTCATCCGTGATCTGGGTGAGCTCTCTGTCGAGGGTGTTAAGGAGTGGTATAATCGTATGGCCGACATGGGCGTGAGCATCCATTACTGCTCAAACAGTCCGTGGCAACTTTTCCCAGTCCTAGCCAGCTTCTTCAAGATGCACGGCTTGCCACCAGGATCGCTTCATCTGAAGCAATACAGCGGCATGCTGCAGGGTATCTTTGAGCCAGTGGCAGAAAGAAAGCGATCTACACTTACTCGCCTACTAAGAGATTTCCCTGAGAGAATGTTTATTCTTGTGGGAGACAGTGGAGAGGCTGATTTGGAGGTTTACACGGAGCTTGCCCTTGCGAACCCAGGACGGATTCTTGCTGTCTTCATCCGAGATGTCACAACACCAGAGGAGACAGCCTTTTTCAACTCCAACTCGGGATATGACTTTAATCGGCCAAAGACCCCAGCTACTTCTAGCAACGCTTCAAGAAATGTTTCAAGAAATCCTTCATACCAGAACCTGGGGCCCGGTGGATATCGGGGAGAAAGCAAACCATCAACAGGCCCAGCCATGGGAACCTTGATCGACTTCTCAGACGAGCCCGGGGAGACCAAGATCGATCGTAATGTGGCTCTCTCTCAAGTTCGAAATGCGAGTGCCAATACCACCTCCAAGAGTGCCAGTACGGCTGATCTACTTGGCGGACGTAAGCCACCTCCGCCCAGACCAGCAAAACCGGTTGCGTTGAGAAGTGCCAAGTCAATCACCGAGTTGAACAAGGGTCTCACCAGGCAAAATTCCGATGAGCTACCTCCACCACCTCCGCCTAGAAGACCAGCGCTGCAGGTTCGAGAACCATCAGTGCCTCATCCTCTGAAGCAGATTCACAACTCCTCACAACAAAGCTCGGGTGGTAGTAATGGCGGTTTCAAAATCCCAGCACGCTCTAATTCGGGAGATCGTCCTCCTCCACCTCCGCCACGACGACGCGGTACACCCTCAAGTATCACCGAGTCGAACCAAAATCCACGTCTTCCACCACGACCAACTCAGAACATGGCCAACCTAGACGTGGACTACGACCCTCTTCCTCCACCATCATCAAATGCCCCTCCGTCATTTGGTTCAGCAGGATCAGGTTATCGATCAGACGGCAACACATCAACAGCAGGCTCACCAACACTGGGTCCACAAGCAGTAAACAAGAAATTAGAATTATGGAGGAGGAGATTAGCACGCGCACACGAACAGTTAGACGGGCTAGGCGTAGCCCTGTATACATGGCGACGAGGAAACGATGTCATTGCAGAAGCAGAGGGAATAGTAAAACGAGCCCTCGCGGATATGGAGAGAAAGAAAAGGATGAGACAATAGCGATTCGACTCTATATACCAAGCATTTTGTTATTCTCAATTCAACTATACTCGTATACTATACTAGCGTTAGCATAGATGGGGAACGGGGTTAGGATATCCACAACAGTAGGCAAGCATCCACAACGAGAATTAGACACGACGATCATTGTCCAATCAGCTAAGGCGCAGTGGCAGAGTGGTCTAATGCGATAGACTAGAAATCTATTCTCTTCGGAGGCGTCTGTTCGAATCAGGCCTGCGTCGATTGGTTTATCTTTTGTTCCTTTGATATACAGGAGTTCATTTTTGTTCAAGTGCCTATGTTTCCCAAATGTTTTTGCCACTCAACAGGTGAATCCAAATGCATGGGCTCATTCATAAGCGCAGCCGTTTGTGCATAATTGATCCTTCTCGCTACTTGCAAGGTTTCGAATCTATTAGTACACACTCTCTAGATATCCAAACTAGACGCTTTTCATATGAATGCAAATAGATGACGGTCATATGCCAATGAGTCCAATTGTCTGCTATATTCGTTTCTAGATGAATCCCAACTCCAACTCCGCTTCATCACTTTGCATGTCGTAATTATCATCGAGGGTTCATATCACCTGCCAGATTCATATGCATGATGGCTTCAGCTGTCCAGTCCTCTTCGCTCTTTTCTCCCTTGTCCTGCTGCTGCCAAAAGCTCACCTCTTCACGTCCATCCACGCCTGGTAGCCGAATCTGGGGCGGCGCTTGACCGTTCCCTGGGACGGGCTCAGGGGGTCGTGCGTGGCCAGGAACAGGGCGTCTATGAACGGGACCCTGCTCGTGCTCTGCACCACTATACCGTGAGAAGTCGGGGATATCGAATCCTTGATCAGGTTGATGAGCAAGGTTCAAGTGTATCGGTGGTCCAGAGCCTGCGGATTGAGGCGGGTGCTCAAATTGTGCCTGTTGGAATCCTGTTGGTGTCTCTTGGCCATCGGGAAGCTCAGAGAGCATCGTCTGTGTTGGCTCATACTCATGACGCGGAGTTGCCTGGTCGAATTCCTCCTGCTCCAAGATTTGAGGAGCTGGCTCAACATTTCTCAAGCTGGAAGATCCAGGTGCTGCACCGCCTCCGCTTCGTACGCTGACCATGGATGCTCTAGCCTGGTCCATAACGTCACCAGCGGTGGATTCAGCATCCATATCGCGGATGGAGAACTGTGCGAGGGTTCTGAGCTTTCGGCTGACCCAGCCACCAAGAATCTTGCCGCGCTGCTTCTCTCCGAGACGAGATCGAGGGAAGTCACCCTTGTTCACAAATGCG